TAGGCTCTGCCTAGAAGGGTTCTTACTCTCTAGCTTAAAGGGGCCGGGCAGTGGAAAGCGCCCCGGGCGGTTCCCCCAGTCCCCTGGGAGCGGTTCCCCCCAGTCCCCTGGGAGCTTTAGCTTTAGCTTTAGCTTTAGCTTAGCTTTAGCTTAGCTTTAGCTTAGCTTTAGCTTAGCTGTAGCTTAGCTTTAGCTTAGCGTTTCGCTTAGCGTTTCGCTTAGCTTTTCGCTTAGCGTTTAGCTTAGCTTTAGCTTAGCTTTAGCTTAGCTTTAGCTTAGCTTGAGCTTAGCTGTAGCTTAGCTTTAGCTTAGCTTTAGCTTAGCTTTAGCTTAGCTTTAGCTTAGCTTTGCTGTAGCTTAGCTGTAGCTTAGCTTTAGCTTAGCTGTTGCTCAGCTTTAGCTTAGTTTTAGCTTAGCTTTAGCTTAGCTTTAGCTTAGCTTTAGCTTAGCGTTAGCTTAGCTTTAGCTTAGCTTTAGCTTAGCGTTAGCTTAGCTTTAGCTTAGCTTTAGCTTAGCTTTAGCTTAGCTTAGCTTAGCTTTAGCTTAGCGTTACTGTTACTACTAATGCTGCTTTCCTAGGGGTTCCTTCTCCTAGGTAGGGTCGCACTGGGATAATTGTTTAAACGAACGTGCGCCGCGCTAAAACGATAAACACATTATCGAAAAGGAACCGCCCTCAAGCAGTGAAACTCTTGCAAATGTTTGAAATGAATGTGCGCCGCGCTAAGGCGAGAGCCACATTTTGAAAACAACCTGCCCTCCATCTGCGAAACCGTTGCCATTTGTTTAACTTCATAGTCATAAAGTGTGAGCAAGTTTCAGGCGAAACGCCCGGCCCGCCCCAAAATCTGGCCTCGGGGTGCGACAGGGAGAAGTTATGTATAAGGGAAAGAATGGAGGAGGGCAGGGGAATGGGAGGAGGGTGGAGGGAGGGTTGTCACAGAGGGTGGCCATGCGCGGGTGCCGGTCCCTACCGGAAGCTCATGGGAGCATGGTGGAGCGAGGAGGACTTGGAAGGAGGGGGCGGAGAAGGACGGATGTGAGGATGGAAGAGGAGGAGAAGGGAAGCGGAGGAAGATTTGTCCCTCCTCCTCCCGTTCCTTCTACTCCCCCCCCCTCCCCGCCACGAAGCGGACCCAGGCCCCAAAACCACCGAGGACCTCCGAGAAAGCCGCCAGAAGCCGACCGTCGTCGTCGTCGTCGTCGTCGTCACCGTCAGCGTCAGCGTCAGCGTCAGCGTCAGCGTCGTCGTCGTCGTCGTCGTCGTCGTCGTCGTCGTCGTCGTTAGCGTCAGCGTCAGCGTCAGCGTCGTCAGCGTCGACGGCGGCGGCGCACACGAAGACACCCGACAGGGGGCCGCGGCGGCGGGCGCCGGCCGCATCGGGGGCGATGTGCTCAGCCAGGTCGAAGAGCAGCCAGGCGGGGCCGCCGAGGGTGGCCAGGCGGGCGGGCGCTCGGCGGCAGTGGAAGTGGAGGGTGTCCCAGAGGCGCCTCTCGGGGGCGTCCAAGAGCGAGGGGCAACGTGAGGGGTGGGGGAGGGTGGAACGTCGACCTGGAATCGGCAATACCTCGCCGACAAATCGGCGATGGCCCCCCGATAGCGAAGCCGCACGTTCCTGGGCGGGGTGGGCGATCGGGCCTCTGTCGGCGATGAATTGGCGATTGGAGGTCGATGCATCCTCCCCTGAGCCCTGAGCGTATCCCCCTGAGCCCACACATCCGATGTCTTGCTTTTCAATGCGGGATTACCAGATGTCCAGACCCTTTCCCCAGGGCCGGCGATTCTTCCCAAGGGCTGGCTGTTCATCCCTGAGGCTGTCCCCCCGTGGCCACGACGGCGCCCCAGGAGGATCAAAAACCTCCAGAGAACGAATCCCCATCCTCGAACCTCGAACCTCGAGCCTGACCTCCCCCCCCAACCCTGAGCCCATGCCCCCCTGACGATGTCCCTGAAGGACGGGGGCGCCCAAGAGGGGGCGGAAGCAGATCGTGGCCCGAGGTACATGCGCGTGGCGAAGGGGTGTGGGGCATCATGGCCCCGGCCATGATACGGTAGAGGGAAACAACTAATGGACACTCCCCCCCCAAATTCGAGTTGGTACGCACGGAGATGACTGCGGTCGAAGTGCAACTCATCAGAGCCATCTCCAAAAACGACCATTGGCGAGAGGGGGGCATTGGCAGATGAATATGTCATGCGTGTTCGCTTATGCTTTCCGAGGCCTGCATTTACCACCACAACCACCAACAACAACCCCCCGCCCCCTAGTCATCTTGCCCCGCCCAGCCGCCCCCGAGCCTCTCGCACATACGAATCAGTAATCAATTAGAACGGCAAAAACAGAAACGGCCGGTCGGAGGTCCACGCGGACCTCCTAGAATCTGTGCTTCTGGAGTTTTGATCATATCAAATCTTAGCTCTTAGGCGATCAATGCTTGTCCGTCTCCCTCCTCACGCCCCAGCCCCGCGAAAAGCCAGAGTCAGCGCAACCCTGGTGGGTTCTCGGAAGACGGGGACTTCCTGGCCAGTGTTAAGTCGGGCCTGTCCTCCTACAGGAGGATTTTCGACAACAAATAAAAATACTCAAAAAATACTCCAAAATAGTCAGAAAATACTCGAAAAATTGTCACATGATTATTTTTTGATTATTTTTGGACATTCCCCCTGTAGAGGGACACGCCCGACTTAAGGCCAGTGCCGGAAAGTGGCGGCGCTATCCTGCCGTGGTCCTGCACCATCACGCGCGAAAGTGTGGCGCTTTCCCGCCAGGGTCCGCCACCCTCTTGACGCCAGGTCTCCGATCCTGCAGGGTGGGCTATTTCCCCCAGTGTCCAAGAGTTGGAGACACCAGCTGGGGCATGGGCGAGGCCTCGAGCGGAGATCCCCTGGTGAGGGCCGCCGGAATGGGATCGAGGATCGAGGATTGCGTGGCCTGGGCCCAGTTTGCTCGGCGGCGCACCTTCTCGGAGCCCCCTCCGGCCTTCTGAGAAGCCCTCTGCGGCGTCGGAGATTCTCAGAAGGCCAAAGGCCCTCTGAGTCCCTGATAAGGCCCGCCCTCTCTGCCGTCACCCCCAAGCGCACCGCCCATCGGCGGCTTTCTGACGTCTCTGCTCCCGTGTTGAACGGTTTTCACCGGTCCAGCGCTGCCTTCCGCGGTGTCGGTGGATTCCCTGGGTCACCTGACCTCGCACATCGCGCCCCGCGATGAGCGGGCGGCGCCCTCGCGGCGCCCCGCTGGAAAAGGACAACTGCTTGCGCGAAGCGCGATCGATCAGTATCTAGAAAGGGAGAAGGAGGAGGAGCAGATGGAGCAGATGCGGAAGGACGCACGTCCCCTGTCAGCCCCTGGCGGCAGGAGGGCACGAGCCTCCGCCGCCAGGGAAGCGACAGCCGCGGTGGACACGAGCCACCGCGGCCGCTCGGGCGCGCCGCAGGAGGGCACGAGCCTCCGCGGGCACCCAGGCGCAGGAGGAGCACGAGCCTCCGCGCGAAACGGAGGCGCGGAGGAACACGAGCCTCCGCGCCCAAGCATTCGACGCGCCCTCAACACGGGGCCGCCTTCACGGCCGAGAGGTCCAGCTCCTTCAGAATCACCTGCTGCTCGTGCGCATCCAGGGCCGACACCCAATCGACCAGCTCCTGGCAGGCGCTCTCGAAGGAGGCTTCCGCAAGGGCCAATGCATGTTTGGCCATCTCGACTCTCTCGGCCGCCTGGTTCACGACGCCGCGCTTCGTGACGTACACGGCTTCGAAGTTCTGCTGCATCTTCTCCTTCTCCACCTTAAATTTAACCTCGAAGCCCTCATCAGCCAGCGGCACGTCGCCAAAATTGCCAACGACCTTCATCGCCTCCGTCCCGTCCTCGAGGTCCTCGGAGTCCGTCCAAACTTCCTCCTTGGGCTTCTCGGCAGACGTCCATGAAGAAGACGAGTCGCTCGTACAGCTTGATGTTGTTGCGCTGCTGCGCGGGTGCGGGCAGCGCACGGGACCCACGTCCACAGTCGCCAGCTCCTTGTGCTCGGCTTTGGCAACCTCCACGTCCGTGAGCGCGTACCCCTTGCCAGTCTTGCCGAAGTGGGCCTTCTCAGGGAACTCCAGTTCCTTCTTCTGGCCCTCCAGGTACTTCCTCGCCTCCTCATCGTCCTCGGAGTCCGTCGTAACGCACCCCTTGGGCACCTCCGGAGACAAACATGATGAGGACGAGTCGCTCCATGTAGTTGCCGTGCGCGCAAGCTCCTCGACCTGGGTCGTCACATTGGAGGCCTTCTCGAGGTTCTTGGTTTCCCCCTTGCCGAACCGAGTGTTCGCCAGGGCCAGCTCGCAAAAGGCCGAGCCCATCTCATTCACCTCAGCGGTGGTGTTGCCTCCAGGGGCACCCTTGAAGTCCTTCTTCACCTGCGTCTCCACCATCGGTTGGGCACCAGGTGCCTGCGAAACCATCTCCTCCAGGTCCTCCTTCACCAGGTTGTACACGGTGGGAGCCGGCGCTGCATCGCCAGCACCACGCCGGCGGCCCCGGGCGCGGCGCCTGGCCTCTGCAGCCGAGGCGGGCGCCGCCTGGGGCCCAGCACCGAAGTCGGCGTGCTGGGCCCAGCCGCGGAAGGCGCGGCTAGCCCCAGAGGGCTGAGCCACCGCGCCCTCGCGGCCAGCCCAAACCATCTCCGTCAGGTGGGGCCTGCCCAGCTTCTCACGCATCTCCACCTCCGCGAGCACCTCGGAGGGCGGGCGCGGGGCGAACAGCTCAGCGCCAGAGCGGATGGCGGCTGCAACAGCGGCGGCCACCACTTGCCGCCCGCCGCAGCGAAGGAGGAGCGAGGAGCGAGGAGCGAGGAAGGGGAGGAGGAGGAGGAAGAGGAGGAGGAGGACGACGACGAGGAGAAGAAGAAGAAGAAACGATGAGCGATGAGGAGGAGGAGGAGGAGGAGGAGGAGGAGGAGGAGGAGGAGGTGGAGCGAGGGAGGAGTGAGGAGGAGCAGGTGGGGGGATGCCAGGAGGGAGCCTCTGGACGGGCGCCGAGGTCTCGGCCCAGAACGAGGCCATGTGGGGCCCGGCCAGCTGGGCCCAGCAGTCCTTCGGGAGGGCGCAGACCACACGCATGTGCACCGATCCCGGCGAGGCCCACCCTGGGCCCCAGGAGGGCCTGAAGAGGCCTCCTCCTGCTTCCTCCTCTCTCCTCCTCCTCCCTCCTCTTCCTCCTCCTCCTCCTCTCCCCTCCTCCTCCTCCTCCTCCTCCTCCTCCTCCTCCTCCTCCTCCTCCTCCTCCTCCTCCTCCTCCCCTCCTCCTCCTCCTCGTTCGCCTCCTGGTTCGCTCCTCCTCCTCCTCCTCCTCCTCCTCCTCCTCCTCCTCCTCCTCCTCCTCATCATCATCATCATCATCATCATCATCATCATCATCATCATCATCATCATCATCATCATCATCATCATCATCATCATCATCATCATCATCATCATCATCATCATCATCCTCCTCCTCCTCCTCCTCCTCCTCCTCCTCCTCCTCCTCCTCCTCCTCCTCCTCCTCTCCTCCTCATCGTCAACCTCGTTCGCCTCCTGGTTCGCCTCCTCCTCCTTCCTCCTCCTCCTCGTGCGCCCCCTCCTCCTCCTCCTCCTTCTCCTCCTTCTTCTCCTCCTTCCCATCCTCCTCTCCCAAGGATCGATGCTTACGACCTCCTGTCTTGGCCAGGAAGGCATATGCACTGATCCTGGGCCCAGGATCGGCCTTGCCAGGAGCAGCGCAGGCGTAAACTACGCAGGAATCGAACGACTTGATTTCTGTTCAATCTAAGCGGTCCCCAGAAGAACCGACCATTCCCCAGGCCTGGGCTTCATCATGAATCGTTGTTTGACGGTCCTGGGCCTAGCGAGGGGCCCCCAAAGGCCGACAACTGTGCAAAACCTCCGCCTTGTTTTTTCCAATACGATGGGTGTCTGAACACCGATACCGCTACTCCTGGCATTCTCCTTTGTATTCTGACCAGAATTTCGAGGCGAATCCAGCCTTCGCGACGATGGCTCTCCAGGACGATCCAGACATCCGAAAACATGAGTTTTTCAATGCTCGGCCCCATGAGGTATCGACCCCTTCCCCCGGGGCAATTTTTCGCTCCGGATCCAATTTGATTGTCCCGGGGCCTAGAAGCCGAAATGAAGGAAAACGCTGCACTCGAAAAAAACACATCGTCTGAGGCCTGGGTAGGAGAAGATACCGATGCCGCTACTCCTCAGACCTCGACCTCTCCCGGGGTGCATTCCAGACCAGCGCTTCGAGGCGAATCCAGCCGTGGCGACGAAGGCCTCCCGTGAGGCCCAACAAGAAGTCAACAACAGGGAAAAGACAGCGGCATCGGTACTCGTTCCGCCTCTGTGTGTAGCTGGCGCCCTCCGAAGTCCTGGGACAGCTCCGGGTCCGCGGCCGAGCCCGCGACCAGCTCGCACAGGGTGCACACGCAGGCCAGGTTCAGCCACGCCGGGTCCTGAGGCCAGCTCGGGTTGGAGGCGGCGGGGGGGTCTGCCCCGGATGGGCACCAGCAAAAAAACGAGTCAGGAGGGGGCAGAGAGCAAGTTCGGCATCCAGTGCCCATCTGGAGAAGACGGGCCAGGAGGGGGCACGGCACGAACTCTGTGTAGAGTGGTGCCTCTGCCCCTCTCTACCCGCCCGGCGGAACCACTGATGCCCCACCTCGGCCCCCTTAGCCGGATCCAGAGCTCCAGGGGGGGGGGGAGAAACGTCGAGCTGGAATCGGCGATGCGTCGCCGATAGTATCGGCGAGGGGCCCCCGAATCAGCGAAACTGCACGCGTTACTTGGCCGGGTGGGCTAGTGGGCCCCCATCGGCGATCAATGGGCGAGCGGGGGTCGATGCGTCCCCCCCCTGGGCCTGTCCCCCCGTGGCCACGAGGGCGCCCGGGACGATCAGTGACACCACGTCTTGCATTGCCGCCGTTTCGCTGGAGGACCCGAAGAGGCCAAACAAACTGTGGGTTTCCACTCAGGCTTAGAAAGATTGCGGCGTTCTTCGTCGGCGCAAACCCGCCCAAGAGGCCTCCAAGATAGGCGATCCGAGAGGGCACGTCGACGGCCCAAGACGGCCGCAGGGCGGCTCCACAACGGCCAGAAAAGGCCGTCCCGGCGAGGAGGGCCCCAAGACGGCTCAAGAGAGCCCTGAGACGGCTTAAGCGAGGAAGGCCCCCGAAGACTGCTCCGCAGGAGTCCGGGGCAACCCCGGGACGGTCCCGATGAGCTCCCAAAAATGAAGTTGGGAGTTGTCACATATGACGGCGTTCCTATTGTTTCGCCTCGTGCCTATCATCAGCAGCTTCCTCGTCGTCATCACCATCATCGTTCTCATCGTCCGGCTCATCAGCATCGTCGTCACTGTTGTTTTCGTTGTCGTCATAATCACCATCCGACAGCTCCTCCTCCTCCTCCCCCTCCTCATCCTCCTCCTCCTCCTCCTCCTCCTTCTCCTCCTCCTCCTCCTCCTCCTCCTCCGCCACGTCATCGTCGTCGCTCTGGAGGACCCGCCGCAAGCTCGAGAGGCCTCTGGAAACTCTGCCAGTGCTTGGCAATGCCGCGCACGCAGTCATTGGCATTGCTTGGCATTGCTGCGCATTGCTTCACATTGCCAGGGGTGGGTGGGCATTGTTAGCCTTGTTAGCGGGGGCCTAGCAATCAGACTGGGCGTGGCACGAGAAGAAAGAGGAGAGATAGCATAATAAAACGAGGAGCCAGCGACGGAGGCGGTGGAGGAGGGTGCAATGCCCTCCCATGCATTGCGATGCGCAGGCGGAGGAGGGGGAGCGTGCAATGCTCTCCCATGCGGACGGGCCCCAAGAGCCCATAGCTTCTGTGACATTGCTGAGGAATCTTCGAAGTGTGGCATTGATTGACCCTGCGAAGGAATTGCTTGGGAGCACACGGCGACGAGGCCCAAACGTGCCACTTGTGACCAGAAGCTGGACACTCAGACCCGAACGCGCCACGTGTTATTGGCAATTGCATTGCACTGCTCGGCGTTGAACGGCATTGTCTTTGCACTGCTTGGCGTTGCTCAGCATTGCCTGGGGTTGGCAAGAAACCAAGTCCAAGGAAGACCAAGGAAAACCGTGGAACCCGAGGAACGCAACATGGAACCAAGACCAAGGAACCCGAAGAACGCAGCAATGAACCCAAACCAATGATTTTCCGGATGCTCTTGAACATTGGTAAAATGTCGTTCTTTCGTGGCATCAGCCCAAGACGCCCCAAGAGGTCTCCAAGATGTCTCCAACAGGCCTCCGAGATTACCCCGAGACGGTTCCAAGGGCGCCCAAGAGGGCCCCAAGACGGTCCAAGAGACCTCCAACATCGCCTCAAAGCACTATCCTATCAGCACCACTCGAGCCCTATTCATTAGCTTGACTGTGTGCTCTCTAATCTCATCTGGGCGTGCTCGACCTCTCGACCACTTCGCCCGGACCGGCTTCTCATCCCGAAGCGTTGGTTGACGGCTCCGAGGCTGGGTAAGGGCCCCGAGAGGCCGAAAGCCATGGAGAAACGTCGTCCCCTTTCTTGTGGCGGGCGCCACATGTCTGGGACCCCCTGACGTTGCCCATGAGGTCCACGCAGCGCCGCAGCACGTAGCTCCACACGGCGAAACCCCCGTCCTCGGCAAAGAAGTGCCTGCCCATCCGCGCCGCCGCGCCGCGGGCCCGCAGGCCCTTCCAGAGCACCTGCGACGAAGCCAGGACCAGGACAAAGTCGGACAGCAACGAAGAGGAGAGGCCACATGCAAACCCTGCCCCACCACCGCTACCCCACGGCTTCTAAGGGGGGAGGTGGGGTTCACTTCGTTCGGGACCTCCCGAGCGAAGCGAAGCCCACCTCCCCCTTTCGAAATCGTGGGGTGGTGGGGTAGGGTTCGCATGTGGCCTCCTAGAGGAGGAGGAGGAGGAGGAGGAGGAGGAGGAGGAGGAGGAGGAGGAGGAGGAGGAGGGGGAGGAGAAGGAGGAGATGGAAGATAGGAGCAAGCGGGAGGAGGTGGAAGATCGAAACAAATCGGGGACCTCTGGGCCTCGGGGATCCGGCGATTCTGGACGATGGATCGAGCGCCCGCGGCCGTTCCACGGCGCTCCAAGATGCTCTGAGGGCGCTCTGGAACGCTCTGTAGGGCAACCTGTCCCGGTCCCGGGGCCCGCCCGAGCACCGCCCGCGCGACGAAGTCAAACGTGTGGCACAGCACGTCGGGCCATGGGGCCGCCAGCGCGACCGCGCCTGGAGGAGCGACGAATAGGTGTATAGACGTATGTAGATCTACTACATGCTATATACATGCACATGTTTATGCATACGTACATAACATGTATGTGTACATATACTACAGATAGACACTAATACGAAGACTTACATACAGAAGTACACACGCCCTCGCAGTCTGGGTATGGGGCGCGATGCCGTGGATGCGAGGTCGCCTAAAAGTACCCTGCGCGAGAGGCATGTGCGACAAAACGCGCCGCATCCACGGGGTCGCGGCCCAGGGGCCCAGCCCGCGAGGCCGTGGATATGCCTATGTCCCCATTATCCGATGGCCGGATGTTTTCCAGATGCGGTCCCCGGAAGCCCTGACCCTTTCCACCAGTCCAGCTTCTCGTCCCGAGTCGTTTGCTGACGGTCCCAGGGCCCGACGATGGCATCCAAAGGCGAAAGAACTATGACAAACCTCCGTGTTGATTTCTCAACACGTCGGATGTCTGAGGAGGCAGTGGGTGGACCAGACTTCCGAGGCGAATCCAGCCGTAGAGAAGAGGCCCTCCCAGGAGGCCCAAGAAGGCGAAAACACGGCAAGGGCGGCAACTCCTCTTCCTACTCCTCCTCCTCCTCCTCAGACCTCCTCCTCCTCGTCCTGCTCCTCCTCCTCCTCCTCCTCCTCCTCCTCCTCCTACTCTTCTTCTTCATAATATTAATATTATTATCATTCGTATTGGTATTCTTCTTACTTTTGTTATTATGAATAGTTTATTGGTATTGGTATTGTTCGTTGTCTGCCCATTATCCCTCTTCTGAATTACACTGATTAGTGTTAGTAGTATGGTTTTCATTCGTATCATTATTCATCTAAGCATTCGTAATATTATTACTATTGACCTTGTTACTACTATCAGTAATAGTATAATGACTCGCCTCAGTCGTATTATCATTAGTGTTATTCGTATTCGTATTATTAGTACCAGTATGATTCGTAATATTGAATATTCAAAGTGTTAGCATTCGTATCAGCATTGCATTATGATTCACATTCGTATGATTAGTCTCTCTCGTCTGAGATGTATGTTCCTCATTATTATTATCAGTCGTGCTCGTATGATTAGTATAGTCTCATTCGAAACGTTACCCTCATCAGTATATGTATTATTGCGAGTCGTATTATTATCACGATTCGTATGTTGCCAGTAGTATTATTATTCCTTCTCCTCCTCCTCCTCCTCCTCCTCCTCCTCCTCCCCCTTCCCCTCCTCCTCCTCATCATCATCATCCTCCTCCTCATCCTCCTGTTTTTTGACGTTGACCAGGCATGAAGACAGGAAGACACCTGAGTGCAGACTACAGAGAGCAGGAGGTGCGAGGAGGCACAGGAAAGTAGAGAAGTCACATAGGGAATAAAGTATAAGACCTCGAGGGGTCAGCAAGGTATTCGCCTCCCACCGAGCCCAAACATCATCCCACATACCCCTGAACCTTAGACCTTCCCATGGCAAGGGCCCCCATCGAGGGCGGTCCGTGTCCTCCCTGAAGGCAGCTGCACCAATAGAAGCAACGAGCTAAGCACTGTGAACGTTGAGGCTAGCACAGTTTACACAAGCTGGCCTGTTTGGCACAAGAGTGCGCCGCAAATGTCTTACTGGATCGGTGCTAAACTGTTACAATACTTACTGCTCATGTGCAGGCAGGCTGACGTGGCAGAGTCAACAATCAGGCGATATGCTTCCCGCCAACTCCGATGACTCATCCAAAACTATCCCTCCCTACCTCTCGGGCGCGAAAACTGGTGGCAGAAGGGGCTGCTTCCCATACACGCAAAGCAACTGAAAGATGCCGACTCCATGGCCCACAACAAATTGCAAAGGAAGCGACCGGGCGCCCACAAGGAACGCCGTCTTCGCCTTTACCTCTGCCACCATCATCCTCCCACACCATACCCCCCCGCTACGCGGGAACAGAGGGTACCACGACTGGTGGCTGAAAGAAAATGCCGCCCATACACGCGAATCAACTGAGAGATGCCGACTCCATATTCTGTCTTGGTGGCCACATGCCTCACGCGCCGGGAAAATTGAGGCGAGGTGGACCGACAAGCGGGGCTACATTCAGCCTCAGTTCGTCTCGGGCGCCGCTGCGCCCGAGCACGCACCGCGACATCAATGTGAAAGGTCCACCCCACCTCCTTTTCTCATACTCTGTTCCTCAACCTCTACTGTAAAAAACTATGGTTGTATCATCTGTGGATACACACTTCGGGTGCCGTGTGCTGAGACGGCAACTTAAACGCAGCAGATGAATTACTCATGAGTGCGAGCTGCTCGAGACTCACCGCGTCATACCCGCACCATCATCACCTCCTAGCCGCCATGTCCCGACATCACCCCCAAACTCCCCCTCCACGTATCCACGTCTCAGCCTGGTGGCAGAAAGAAACGGCCTCCCACGCACACGTTCAGCCGAGATGATGACGGCCAGAAATGAGCGCTCCCGCCTCTAGCACAGTTTACGGCTCGGCACACACTGTTGCGGCCAGCGCGCCGCTACGGGGCACCTGCATCCCCACCTCCTGAATTTCATGGATTGATGCGAATCAAATTTAACTCGATATCCAAAGTGCTGCCAAGGTGCTCTAGAGGTAGAGCGGGCACCCTCCACGAAGCGCATGCGCATGTGCAATGATTTAATCTGCATCGAGGGTGGGTGAACGGCCAAAAATGGCACGCGCACAAGTAAAGACAAACAGCTTCTTCATCATCATCATCATCATCATCATCATCATCATCATCATCAACATCATCACCATCACCATCATCATCATCATCATCATCAGCAGCAGCATCAGTATCACCATCATCACCATCATCATCATCAGCATCATCATCATCATCTTCATCATCATCATCATCATCATCATCATCATCATCATCATCATCATCATCATCATCATCATCATCAATCTCCAGTCGTCTTCCTCGTCGCTGGCGTGCGCGAATCGCGTAGATTCGTGAGGTGCACCGGCAAAGCGTTTGTTACGCAGAGCGGCTCTGAGCTGCCGCCCCGCTCCAAAAAGAAACAGAACAAATGCGCACAACCCCGCCCATCAGCAATCACCATCGACACGGAAGAACCAAGAGCGAGCGAGCCCGATACACAACCGCAGGAGGCGAAGAGCCACGCGCAGGCAACCACCGAGGCGGACGTTCATGCAAGAGCGCTTCCCCAGCCAGCAGCGAAGGACGGGCCACGAGGGGGGAAGAGAGGCCCGTGCGGCCCGAAGGAACCTGAAGGACGAGAGGAGACGGGGAGGAACGACACTACGACAGCAGGAGGGACCTTTGTTCAAGTGAAAATATCAAGGCCGATGCATTCGAGACTTTGCATGATTTTTAATGTTTGCTACGACCAGCACGCCCAGCGCGACGAGCCAAATGCGCGCTGGGATGACTAGAGGAGGACGACGACGAAGGTGAAGGAAAAGAGCCAATGAAGAATGCGAAAGAAAAGTGTAGGATTCGAAGCGTCACCTACACGGTTGTATATATCGCGCCAATCAACCATAGTCTTTGTTTCGAACATCGTACAACGCTGCGTGGTACAGAGAAGTCAATCAAACTCAGCCCCGCGGGGTTGTGATGCACACTGTTGCAGTTGAAGCAACGAGGATTTGCCACATTATTTTATGGATATGGTAATTGCCTCCACTTGATGGTGAATGCCTCCACTGGAATATGCCAAGGTAGCGCAGGAGTGATGCATAATGCCTCATCATCGTTATCGTTCGATCCTGGTTGAATGTCAATGACATCTACATGAAGGCGAATGGCACCCGGTTGAGTGCCGGCGTGCTCTGATTGAAGAACAACGAAAACTGACTGACTGCCAACGACATGTGATTCAGCGCCGAGAATATCCGACTGGGTGCCAGCCAGCAACATCTGAGTGAGTGCCAACGCCATCTGACTGAGCGACCCTGACATATGAAAGAATGCCGACGATCTCTGACGGAGTGCTAATGCAATCTGATTGAGCGCCAACGACGTCTGACTGAGTGCCACCGACATCGGATCGAATGCCGGCCAAAAATGACTGAATGCCAGCGGCATATGGCTGAGTGCCCAAACTTCCACGCGCTTGACCTGTCCCGTGCGCCCGACTGCGTTGTGCGAACTTGTTTCTCGCGCCACTCCCGTAACATGGCGTGTACTATTACAACAGATCCGGTGCAATATGATGAGATGTTCGGTCTGCTTGCCACAAGACTGGTTCGCTGAAGTTATGCAGTGGCGCTCCATTTCGTGGCTGGCACCTTGCGTAAACCTTCGACGGCTTTATTGCCATCGGTTTCAGGATGTGCACCGAATGAAGGCCAGACAACGGCATCTGATTGAATGCCAACATCATCTGTCTGAGTGCCAGTTCAGGGCCCGCCTGCGGTATCTAAGCGAGTGCCCCTGGCGTCCTGATTCGTTGAACTTCCAAATCAAACGCCAACGCTATCCCGTTGAGTGCCAACAGCATCTTTCCCAGCGCCAACGACATCATACTTGGTGCCAGCGTTACCTGGTTGATTGCCTACAACGCGTGACTGAATGCCAACATCACATGCCTGAGTGCCAGCGCGATCCCGTTGAAAGCTTACAAAATCTGAATGAGTGCCAACAATATTGGATTGGGCGTTAACGACACCTGACTGAATATCAAGATGGCGAGCACCAAGTCCCTTCGAGTCCAGAACCGGGCACGCCTGACCAGTACCCCCTAGCGGAGGACTTATTGGGGCAGCTGCGTCAAATTCTGGCGGGCGACGCACAGACGGAGGTGGCGCCATTTTTTTGATAGGCGCCCTGAACCCTAGCTTCAGCTCAGGTCAACGCAAGGCAGCTGGAGCCCGACGTTGCGGCCAGCCGCCTGTGGAGAGGCAACGTTCGGCACGATCTCCTCCTCGCATCAGCGAAAAAGCAGAAACAGTAAGGCCGTGCGTCCAGCGCCCCCAGAACACAAAAACGACCACCCACACAAGGACGACGAGACCCCACCACCCCAGGTGCTGACGCGCCAGGACGGTGGCAGGGCCCCGCCCCAGATGGGGGGTAAGCACACGGATGCCTGCCCGAGGGGTCAGTCGCATCGGGCCGTGCGCGTGCGCAGGGATGCCTGGCCGCAGCGGGAGGCCGCAGCTAGTCGCATCGGGCCCTGACCGAAGGACTCTGAACAAGGCTGGGAGACAAGATCTCCTCTTCACATCAGAGAAAGGATTAACACCGAAAAAACGACCACCCTCACAAGGACGAGGAGACCCAGCCACCCCTGGTGCTGGTGCGCCAAGACGGCGGCTGGGCCCCGCCCCCAATGCGGGGTAAGACACGGATGCCTGCCCGAAGGGTCAGTCGCATCGGGCCGTGCGCGTGCAGGGATGCCTGGCCGCAGCGGGAGGCGACGGTGCTTAAGAAGTGTTGCTTGTTTGATTGCCAAGTGCTTTCCCTGAATAACCCAGAGCCAGTACGTGGTACAAATCATGCGTAACGGCTGAAGGTGTTCTACGCGACCGAGCTCCATAGCCCAATCTACATATTGCCTTTCTGACCTGAGGTGATGTAGCGTGGGGAGAGCGAGAAGAGACACGAGCCATGGCGAGGCCTCGCGCGCGCGGAGATGCCTCCAGTGGCGCGGGCGGTCTTGCGCTGACCACCGCGCTTAGCTCACGAACGGCTCTCTCAATCTCTCGAGAGGTCGTGAGCTTCTTCCTCCTCCTCCTCCTCCTCCTCCTCCTCCTCCTGCCCCTCCTCCTCTTTCTCCTCCTCCTCCTCCTCCTCCTCCTCCTCGGGCGCCCCCTGGAATGCTCTCGGCACGGCGAGGCTGCTGAAGGCATCCCGAGACTTGAAAGCTGGGCAAAAGTTGACGGAAGTTGAGTGCCGACTGCCCGTTTGCACAAACACTGCCTGTGCTCCGACTGGGCCAACAGACCTGCCCTGGAACTGCCGACGCCAGCCAAGACGCAGACTCAGGTGAAGAGTCGAAGCAACTATCGAAAGCAGGGAGGTCACAGAGGACGCACGCGCCCAGCCACGTACATGAAGCGTGGGTTTGTGTACGTGTACGTCCTTCCATCGCTCCTGACAACACGTCCGAGAACCTCGAACCTCGAAAGCCTCGAACAGCTCGGCGAGGCCGTGGAAGTGGATGATTACGCTTCCCGCCCACGCGCGCCGCGGCGCCGGCGCTCGCGCCTCTCGGGCAGCAGGCGCGCCAGGGCCCAGAGCACCTCGGCGGTCCAGGAGGAGGGGGCCGTCGACAAAAAAGCGCGGCCGGCAAAATCGCACCGGACGACAAGAGGTGCCAGGGAAGCACGGGGGCGGGATGCCGGGGCCGAGACACCGCGGCCCGAGTGGGGGACGGGGGTCGGTGGGCCGACACCGAGCCTCGTGGCCCCACCCTCTGATCATCATGATGTTGTTGATGTTGATTATGATGGTGATGAGGATGATGATGGTGATGATGGTGATGGTGATGGTGTTAGTATGATGATAGTGCTGCTGATGATGATTATGTCTCGTCGAAACCCGCCCGGGGCACCGAGGTGAGCCACATGGGCGACGCGAGCACGGGCGCGAGGGGCGCGCCTGACGCCCGCGGGGCGGAGGCCCTGGGCGGCAGGCGGAAGGCCTCCAGGGCGCGGCCGCCCCTGCTCGCGAGCGGCGGACACGTCCCCATCCGCGCCCTCGCGGCCTGGACTCCGGGGCGCGACCCCGCGGGCGCGCGGTCGCGCGGGCGCGTCCCGGGAGAAAGCGCACCGTGTGCGCGGGGTCGCGGCCCAGGGGCCCGGCCCGCGAGGCCGCGGGTACGGACATGTGTTTCGCCCGCGGCCTGCCCCACGGCCCGCCGTCCAGGAGCGAGCAGTTCATCAAGTCGTGCCTGCCAGGTCGGTCCAACGGGGAGGATCGAGATGGGTGCGGAAAGAATGGCGACGAAGACCAACAGCAAAGCCTGCCCACATTGAACAGGAGTCGCTGTCAGTGTCGCCGCGGGCGGTGTCCATTTGAGACACACAGTTGCCTGCCCAACAGCGTCCGCTGTCGGATTTGGCAAACATGTGCTGTTGGGGATTGTAGCCTGTTGATTCGATCACACTTCGTGCGTGCCGATAGATGGGAGGGGCTGGGAAGCAACTCCCAGGAGGCCTTCGTGAGCACGATGAACAGATATTCATCCCGTTTTAGGGACCACTAACCCAGGTCAACACAGATTGATCGTGAGATTGAGCCCAATTGAGCTGTATGAAGCGGGAATGTGCTGTATTAGCCCGACCACGGATACTGCAGCGTCGATGATGAATTCAACCTCCCAGGGCTTGCATCCTGAGGGGGGTGGAAAGGGAGGATCATCGAATCAGCTCGTGCGGCCAGCTTTCCTGGCGCCTCGCAGCGCCCACACATATCAGGAAAGGCGCCCAGCGGGGAGGTCTAAGCCAGCTGCATGCGGCAAGTTCCGTACCCCAACCCACACTTCCCGAGCCTTCCATTTCTCGGGGAGGTGTAGACTGGAGTTTGGGAGATTCGAGTTGGCCTGGCGGGGGCGGTCAGAAAATGGCGTGACGCGAACTGATACTTGACATGAACTCCCGCTGCAAAAACATCTCACGGAAGCTGGACCGCCCAAACTCACGCTGGGACCGAGGAGTAGCAGCGGCAAACCCGAGGTCCAGCAAACTCGAGCCTTAAGTGTCCCCGATGTTCGGCCTCAACGCCCCTGAAACGGGGACTTCACTCACAGCCACTTTGGCCAGCAACCCGGCGGACGCAACCTTTCGCAACGCGGGCAACGCCGCAATGCCCGAAAGAGCCACTGAAAGGCCAATTTCGTAAAGTACCCAATAGTGGGTACCCATGACGGTGCCGCTGACATCCGTCGGGTGTTCGGCAGAAAGGCGCGGCAGTGGGCGGGAGGTGAAGAAACGCGCACCTGTCTTGCACGTTTCGGGTCCGCGGTGGCAGTCTAGAGGCCACTCTCCTGCCATCCTGGATCCCTCCAACGCCTCTGGCCCCACCGTTGCCGTCCATCCGACTCGTCCGCTCCTGGGCGTGGCGGGGCCATCGGGCGGGCGATCAATGCGCAGTCGGGGGGCGATGCGTCCCCCCCCGTGCCTGTCCCCCCTCAGCGCTGCCCCTGATCAGGAGTCACAAACCAATCCCTGGACCTCTCCTGGGGTGCCTTCTGCCCAGGCTTTCATGGCGGATCCAGCAGTGGCCACAAAAGGGCGCCCCAGGACGGCCAAAAGCCTCCAGCGAGCGGACCCCGATCCTCGAAGCTCGAACCCCCAGCCCACCACCCCTAACGTTGCCTCTGAGAGTTTCGCCCGACCCGACGAGCCTGTAGCCCGGGGCGTACGCCAGCACCGCGCGCGCGAGCAGGTCGCCCGCGGACCCTGCGCCCTGGCCGCATTCGCCGAGGCCGGGCAGCCCGCCCCGGCCGCCGCCCCAGAGGAAATCCGCGAAGCCGCTCTGGAGCTCCACCTTCGGGGATCTGCTGACCGGGTCGATCCGAACCTGGGTCAGTCAAGTCTTGCAGGATCCTGCAGGATCCTGCACCCAAACCGGGGTCAGTGCCTGGCTCTGCAGGATCCTGCAAGTTCCGGCGCTCTGACTGACCCCCGTTTGCACGGACCCCCGTCTCTTGAGCCCCGACACCTATGAATCGGGAGAGCGCCGACTGTACACCTGCAACGATCCTGGCCAGGCCCATCCTGCGCCCAGGACCGACCTGGCCAGGATCGGTGCAGGTGTACAGCTGGCGCCCTCTGACCCACCAGCTCCATGCAGGAGCGCAGCCACGCCGCGGCGTCCCCGCCGCTCACGCCCCGGAATACGAAAACGGCCGCCACGTCCACCTCCAGCCCGTCCAGGAGCAGCACGCAGCGGCTGCAGAAGAAGGAAGAACGGCACAAACAGCTCTCGACTCGAAGGTCCGGGCGGACTTCTTAGATCGGCGCTGGACCCCCGCGCCAGGGGCGGCGACGGAGGCGCCAGCAGGGGGTCTGGGGCCGATCCAGGATATTCGCGCGGACCTTCGAAAGTGCACGTTTTCGGGAAAACGTAAGCCTCGGGTTTGCAGGACTCGAATTTGCCTGACGGGGCCGTCACTACGAGACCCACTCTAAAATTTGACGCGAGCTCCCGCTGCAAGAATTCCACGAAACCCAGACCGTCAAAATACAGGACGGGACCGTCAACAAGCGTCGGCGAACCCGAGTTCTGGCGATCTCGTGTCTTACACTTCCCCGATGTTTGCGCGGCTGTTTCTTCTTCCAGGCTGGCCGCGTCACTGTCGCCGGGGCGCGCCCTGGCCGCCGCCCGCGCGGGTGAGGCGGGTGGCGGGAAGCGCGAGCGGCCTGGGCCCGGCCCCAGGTTCACCTTTGAGTTGGGACGACGACGACGACGACAACGACGACGACGAGCACCGCGGTGGCCGTGACGACGGCAGCAGTGAGGAGGGAGATCCGCCGATCTGGCGTGTGAGTTTTCTGAGAGCGTGGGCTTGAGCTCGCTCAAGCCTCGCTCTGCCGGGGGGGGGGGGGGGACCTAATTCCGACCTAATTCAGTGATTCGCCCCCCCCCCCCCCCCCCCCCCCTCCCAGAGCGGAACCCTCCATCCCCTGCAAAAGCCCCCTCCCCCTTCCTGCAGCCCGGCCCACCCCCCGCGCCCTGCAGAGCGGACCCCCCCCCCCCCCCTGCAGAGCGGACCCCCCCCTCCTCCCCTGCATGCACCCCCCCCTCTGCAGAGCAGACTCCCCCTCCTGCAGCCCCTCCTCCTCCCAGAGCGGATCCCCCCCCCCTGCAGAGCGGACCGCCCCCCCTCCCTGCAGCCCAGCCCTTCCACCCGCTGCAGAGCGGACCCCGCCCCGCGCAGCCCCCCCCCTGCAGCGCGGACCCCCCCCTCCCCTGCACCCCCCCCTGCAGAGCAGACTTCCCCTCCTGCAGCCCCCCCCCCTTCAGAGCGTACCACCCCTCTCCCTTGCAGTCCCTCCCTCTGCCGAGCGGAACCCCCTTGTAGAGCAGACCCCTTCCCTGCCCTCTCCCCTGCAGTCCCTCCCATTACCGAGCGGACCCCCATCCTGATCATCATCTTGCGGAGCGCCCCGGATCGGCGGCACTGGCCGGAGGCCACTACAATAATTATGGGGGGACTGGCTCACGGGGGGGAACATCGACCTGGAATCGGCATTGCATCGCCGACAGGCCAGCGATGGGCCTCCGACAGTGAGTCCGCACTATTCTGGGCGGGTGGGACTGTCGGGCTCCTATCGGCGATCAATGGGCGATTGAGGGCCGATGCATCCCCCCCCTGAGCCCACCCCCGTCCCGGTGGTTTTCAGGCCACAACTCGGGCCTCCAGCGGCCGTTCGGGACGATCTGGGCACCCCAGAAGGCTCTCGGCCAGGCGCAGCTGCTGGAACGTACCCCGCGGCTGGAAAAACTGCAGGAACCGTCGAAACAGATCTAACACCTCGAACCTCGAGCCTCGAAGCTCGCCGCCCCCACCCACCCTGAGCATATCCCCCAATCAGCATGCCCCCCCCCTCGCGTTGCCCAAGGCTCACCTTGGCCCAGCGCCCAGCGCTGCCCCCGAGGCGCACGGCGCCGGGCTCCTCCACGGTGGCCACTTCGAGGGTCAGCGCGAACCACCTGCCAACGCCCACGCGGCCCAGGAACACCGGCTCGCCCTCCTCCGTGGGTTCCGCCGCCAGGCCGCCCGCCTCCTTTGGCGCAAGACAGAGGGAAAAGAACTATGCACATACACCGATTCTGGCCAGGCCCATCCTGAGCCCAGGATCGGTGCATGCGCCCTCCTCTCTTGGCCAGGAAGGCATATGCACCGATCCTGGGTCAAAGATGGGCCTTGCCAGGGTAGGGGCATGTGCATAGTTCTCTTCGCACGAGAAGACACAATGCGCCACCGTGCCGCGAGGCACAAGTTGGACTGTCCTCAAGACCTGTGTAGTCCTCAGCCCGAGCTCCCCTGGATTGAATGCGGAAGGGGCCCGGACCCCGAAGTCCTAGACCTGACGGGGTTCTGGGCGTGCCTCGGGGGCCCCAGCGCGTCTTCTCGCGTGACTTCTTCGGGCCCAAGAGTGCCTCAAAACGGGCAAAGAAAGCCTCGAGACGGGCACAGTGTCGGCAGGCCAGCAGATACCCATACCTTTATGGGACGCAGAAAGACTTACTGTTACAATGCGGCCCCGTGGAAGAGCACGTCCGAACTGACCATGCAACACAAGCATGCTATATCATATCGTTGCTCTGGCGGTATTGCCAGAAAGCGCCCGCCACCGAGCATACACTGCAAGAGTTCTGAACGGGCGCGTCCCACCGCGGACCTCTCCTGGAGCGCGTTCTGACCAGGATTTCGAAGCGAATCCAGCCGTGGCGACGAGGGCCTCCCAGGAGGCCCGAAGAAGAGAAAACGGTGGAAAAGGCAGCGTCCGAAGTATCCTACCATGTAGACGGACGAATAATGAGTGGGATCGGTCTATCTCCCTCCTCTGGTCCTCCTCCTCCTCCTCCTCGCCGTGGGCAGCGTCTGCGCGCAGCCGGACGCACCAGACGCAGGGCTCGCCGCCATCTGGGGGGACAGAAAGGTACCGACATCGCAGGTTCCCGGACCTCTCCCGGGGCGCGTCTGGACCAGAAGAAGTTGGAGCAGAATCCAGCCGTGGCGACGAGAGCTCTCCAGGATGAGGAGCGGTATCCGTACCTTTTCCTCCTCTGACCATCGCCGCGGCGAGGGCCGTCCCAGCGCAGACGCACCTCCCAGCCGCCGATGGCCGGCTCCCAGCAGCGCCAGAGCACGCCGCCGTGGCCCATGCCGCCGCGCTGGCCACCTGCAGGCAGCCGGATCCAGGCCGCCAGCGTGGCGCCCCCGGAGAAGACGAGCTTCCGGATTTCCTGCGCGGCCTGCGCGCCCGCAAACGGCAGCTCCCAGGAGGTGCCGCCTTCTGAGAGGATGCCAACTTGTCCACCCACATTTCAGCATCGTTTGACCTACAGTCATCGTGATACCACGAGGAAGGATGAGGAAGGAGCGAAGGGGTTTACCTAGCCACGGCAAACCTCGGCAACGAACAAGTCCCCCGACCTGGCACCGAGGAACACCCAGAAAACAAGAGCCTGTCCTGAACCCTAAGTGGACCTTTCGATTGCATCCCCAACCCCACTGGGCCAGGGCTCCTCAACGCCACCAGCCAACCCTTTCGAAGCGTGGACGTCTGCCGGGTGGGTAGGTCGGACAGCGGGGCCAGGGCTTTCCCAGCGGGGAGGGGATAGCCGGTCCAACGAGGCTGAACGCTGGCCGCCAGGGCAGCGATGGGCCCAGGATATGCGGATGTGTTTCCCCGGCGAAGCCAACAGTCTGTGCCCGCCGATTCCTATCTTTATGGCTCCGCAAACGGGAGCTGAGAGGGACCAGGATACTGGCGCGGATCGAGACATTCCAGAAAGCAGAAAATTCCTGGCGAAGGACCCAACCATATGCAAATGTGAGTACCGCAGTTGTGAGCCCCGCCTTCGGTGGAGCTCCCTGTGGGGCCACCAAAACGCGTGAGGGGTGTGCCGACATGGGTGCGGTGGCGCCAGGCGAACCCTGCCTCGGTGGCCTTCGGTGGAGCTCCCCGTGGGGCCGCGAAACGTGTGAGGGGTGTGCCGAAATGGGTGCAGTGGCGCCAGGCGAACCCCGCCTCGGGGGCCTTGCCCCTGAGCCCAAAAGGGTTCTTATGTCTGCGCCTTGACTGCACGGCGCGGGCCAAGCCGTTCCGTGCACTCCCTTCGTTATCGTCATCCCACGCGCTCTTGAGCCAGCTCCATTCGAGCAATTCCTGTCCCGACAAGGCGCACTTGAGTTCCTGCTGGCGGACCAGGACAAGCATATGTTTCCCCTTCGTCTTCAGCTCGTCGAGGCCGATATGTTGAACGTGATGCTTGGCCGCCACTGCGGCCTCGCAGTCTTGTACCTTCACCTTCCACCAAGACAAGATCGGAGCCATCCAGAAACCTGCGGAGGCACCAACCTGTCTCGCGGGCCGCGTCTTCGCCTCCGCAAGCCGTCCGCCGCACTCCGCCGAGCGGCCGTGATATCGGCTTCGGGGGCGTTTGCGAAGGAGACCTCCGAGACGGAGGAGGCTTGCCAGTGATGGCCCGAGGCACGCGCGCGGCCCAGGAGGGGTCCCGGGGGACGTGCTGAATGACAGAGAGGGGGCCGTGAAATCCCGGGAGACATGGTGGCCCCAGCCATGATACCCCCCCCCGTAGTCATCACGTCATCGCCTTCCTCTTGGCCGCCCCCCGTCCAGAGGCCGAGATGTCGGCTGCTCGATCCCTCGAGGGATGGGAACCCTCGGCTCCTCGATCCCTGGATTGCTCGGCAGAGGGGCACGAGCCCTCACGGAGAGGGCGAAGGGCCCCCCGTTAAACTCCCCGAGGCTCCGAGAGGCCGAGCACGGGGAATAAGCGCAGGACCTGGAAGCCTCCTCGATGGTGTCGGAGGATCGTGCCGCGTCGCCGGTGCAGTACCGATGCATCGGCTACTCGAAGGCGACGGCGGCGTGGAGAGAACTGGGTTCCACATGAAGCCGGCGATGCGGCGCAATCCTCCGACCCCGGACCCCGTTCGGGAGGCCTGGAGAACCCTCAGGACCCCCCAAGATTGCCTCAAATCTGTCCCTGAACCCCACCCGGCGTCCATCCTAGCCAGTTTTCAAAGCCGCGCCCAGCCGTTCCCACGATAAACACCATAAAGGCCCAAACAACAACTCCGATGCGAAGACACCGAAGTCGTCGTCATCGTCGTCTTCTTCGTCGTCGACCCCTTCCCCTTCACGTGGCGAGATGTTGGCGTCCCGGAGGAATTCCAAGGCGGATCAAGCCGTGGCGACACGAAGCCTCCCGTAGGCCACACGGGGTGAATGACACTCCTGCGGCCGAAGACCCTGAACAGACTTTCACAGTTCACGATGAGAGATCACGACTGGGGGAAACGATGGGCCAACGATTTCGGAGGCCCGGGCTCCCTCACAGGGCGTTAGAAGCATTGTAAAGGAACCTGACAGACAATCTGTGTAGGGGAAAAGCTACCAAAACAATTGATACTTCAATGTCGAGGGTTTCGACCAACATCCGTTCAAAATTATGCCCTGACCTCCTCCAGCTGCGTCCAGCCCTGGCCATGAGAAACACCAGGAGATTCTCCAACACCTCCGCAAAAGCTCCCGGGTGACTCCTTGCAGATACGGGTCCTGGGTCACGTCTCCATCCGGAGTTGTTCTTTGATGGTCCTGGGGCCCTAAGTTTGATTCGGGCGTGTCCCCCTACAGGGGGATTTTCGACAAAAAATAAAAAATACTAAAAAAAGTCTCCCAAATGGCAAAAAAAATGCACAAAAAAAAAGTCCCCAGGATATGTTTTGCCTATTTTTTGAGATTCCCCCTGTAGAGGGACAGGCCCGACTTAACCCTCATTAGGATGGCCCCGAAAGGCCGACAGCGGCGAAGCAAAATCTCCAGGACCCGAGGGACCCGCTTCCTCGGAGAAAGGACACGACGCAGATCCGCCTCGCTTCTCCCCCTCCAGCCACCAAGGCGGGGGCGGCGGAGAACGTTCGGAGCAGAAAAAGGGGAGGGAGGAGGAAGGTGGACCTGTATATACACAGCGCCGCTTCCAATTTCCTCTGCTCATCATGGGACAACTGGAAGCAACGGCGGCTTCCTCGCCAGGCCCAAACCCGATCAAAATCAGATCCACTCCCGGGGCCTATCCTGACCCGTTTGTTGACGCGTGTCCAGCCGTGGCGACTAGAGAGGCCTCCCAGAGGCCCCGAAGGATCGAAAACCGCCAGGGAGGGCCGCAGTTGTCGACCGGCCACCTCCTTCGTGGCGACTTATTGCCCCCTCCCCCCCCCCGGGGGCACCAACGACCCCACGCAATTCGAAAGTGACTGGGGGCCTTCTTTGCTGGAGCCCGTGCGGAACATGGGAGATCTTAGAAAATCCGCAAAATCCTGTAAGGAAATACTGGACTGACTGGAACATCTTTGTGAAGGGCTGCATCAGGAAAGGGACTGGCTCCAGGGGGGCAACTTCGACCTCGAATCGGCGATGCATCGCCGATAGATCGGCCATAGGCCCCCGACACCCAAGCCCCACGCTCCCGGGCGGGGCGGGCTATCGGGCCCCTATCGGCGAGCCATGCGCGATTGGGGGCCGATGCATCCCCTCGCTGAGCCTATCCCCATCCCAAACGTTGCCCCTGATCAGGGGTCAAAAATCGATCCCTGGTTCTCTCCTGGGGGGTGCTCTGGCGAGAATTCCGAAGCGGATAGACCGTGGCCGCGAGGGCGCCCCAGGACGCTCCAAAACCTACCCCCGATCCTCGAACCCCGAGCCTCGACCCTGGCTGCGCCCCTCATACGACAACGGCGCCCATGCATCGTACCACGTGTGGACTCCCATGAGGCCCCGCCCCAATGCGGTACGGTGCGTAGCTTTTCGGCTCCGAGGGCCGAAAAAGCCTGCACGCGCCATTCCTGGGTCGAGGATCGACGACGCCTCGGGGACCGCCAACGCGGTACGGTTCACACGCTGGCCGCGCGCGGACCTTAGCGATCGGTTGGCGACCAACCGTTGAGGCGACGAGATCTGTACGTATCTACCGCCCCTAGCCAGGCCCCATCCTGGGCCCAGGAGCGGTGTATATGCCCCCCTGGCCAAGCCAGGGAACGCTCATACACCGTTCCTGGGCCCAAAATGGGCGAGGCTTGGGGCGGGGAAATACATTTGTATTTCCGCCGCTTTACGCCAACCTTCCGCCGGCGGAAGCGGCCTCGTTTTACTTCCGCCCGCTTCCGCCGCCCCGCCGCCGCCTTCCGCCGAGGAAACCAAGTAGTCGATCGAACTCAACTCACTCGATCCTTGAAGGCGGAGGCCTTTTTCTGGAATGCCTCAGATCTCGTTGCCCTGCGCCCCGAGACGCGCCACAGCGGAAGCGGCGGCCACGAGGGCGCCCCAGGACGCTCAAAAGCCGAAACCCGATCCTCGAACCTCGAACCTCGACCCTGATTTAGCCCTCAGAGATCAGCTGGCGCCCCCCCACCTCCCCCACTCCTGTTCTTCCGCCTCATCCTGCGAGAAGCCGTGACGCCAACATGGGTTTGCCAGCGCTCTGCTCAGATGTGGGCGGCGCATTCCCGTTTGATCGGGGCCACGTGTGCAACAACGTGAGCTGGTCCACAAAATCAACCAACGAATTGAGAGCCTCGCGCTGACGAGTCTTCGCTCGCACACGCAAGCTCTCCTGTGCGAAAAAAAAAAAAAAAAAAAAAAAAAAAAAACGCCCCACACCCCGCCCCCAGTTGAAAAGGATGGATGGCGTGCCGCGCCCCTCCCACCACTTCGACCTTGACAGCCGCGACATCGGCTCTCGCGAAGACGCTGGGCGCGGCTGCGGGGCGGGGTGGGCGGGGGGGGAGGACTTGCAACGCAGGAGCGCGAGGCTTCGCGCTGCGCTGCACGAGAGAGAGAGAGAGAGAAAGAGAGAGAGAGAGAGAGAGAGAGAGAGAGAGAGAAAAAAAAAAAAAAAAAAAAAAAAAAAAAAAAAAAAAAAAAAAAAAAAAAAAAAAAAAACAAAAAAAAAAAAAAAAAAAAAAAAAAAACGAGAGAACGAGAGAGATAGGTGAACGCAATGTAAATCAGCGAGCCTGGGCCCAACCTCTGGATCAGTAGCTCCTTGGCCAGCCTGACCTCGCGCCAAGGAGCAGGAACGCACGCGCGCGTGCGCAAGGCCACCCACTGGGCCCAATTGTCGAACAAGTCGCCGCCAGCCTTCTCGAAGCGCGAGGCAAGGCCGGCTGGGGCGCGAGCCTCGGCACAATCTCCCTCGACCTCGCGCGCAATAACAGGGTCGACGCCACCCCAATCCTCAACCCGCTGCCACAGTTAAAACCAAACCTCAGACCAAGCGCTGTGAACTGAAGCGCAGAATTTCTCGCCTCTTGTAAAGGCCGTCAACGGCGAAGAAAAAACTGAAGAAAACTCGGCGTCTGGAAGGGAGCACTGGCGCGCAACTCAGCACAGTCAGCATCGGCTCCGATTTCGACGAGCGGTCCGTCCATTACCGAACTAACACGATATGGATATTCGGGCTGCACAGAGACCATGGCCTAGGCGACGTCTTAAGCGCGCGGAATTTGCTGGCTGCGCCAGCTCCCGCCCCAGAAAACGCGCCCAGGCATAGCCCCGGGCCCCCGTCCGAACCATCTTTCGGGGAGACTGGAGAGAAAGGGGAGGGCGGCCCCAGGCGGCAGCGGCCTCTCTGCAAACAGGAGAGGGAGAAACTGGGAACACGATCTGACCGGACTTCCCAAAAACCTCCCAAAAACGCGGGCGGCCCAACCCCGGGACGCGACTCCTGCTGCCCGGCACGCGAGGCGCGCCTGCGGAGCAGGGCCCCTGGAACCGGCAGAGCAGAACTGACGCGCGGGGCCAGGACTCGCGCTCCTCGCCCATGTGTCTGCGACGCGGACTGCGCCCGCCACCGGGGACAAATCATAGATATCCTTTCTCCTCAGGGAGCAGGCGCGCGGCGCGCGGACCTGAAGAGGCCGGGCCACGGACAGGCTCGACGAGGCACTCGCTTGCAACTTTGGGAAAACCAACCGCCAAACAACCTCGGCCCACAACGGGGGCTCGACGACTCGGGCGAGCCGCGCAACCGGGGCCCGGGTGCCCGCGGGGGGGGTCGTCGATCAAGGATGGGGCAGGAAAAAAAACAACGCAATCCTCCTGTGAGCGCACTGGCGGCGCATTCTGAAAAAAGGCCCCCCAATGCTGGCCCAAGGGCGCCCGTGCCGCGCAGGCGCTCAACAGCGCCACTAACCCTTGCCGCAGCATCTCGCGGGGCAGACGCCTCTCCCAGACAGCGGCGGCGAAAACGCAAAGGAGTTCTACATGGAGGGAAGAGGCAAGGTCTACTCTAGCAGACTCGGACAGCGCGAGAAGGGGCGTGACTGACCTGCCCGCAGACTTCCGAGACTGGACGCGCGCCGAGATGGACGGCGCGAGCAAGCCTGAGACCCCCGCTGCGGCGCCGAGGGCACTTCCTCGATTAGAGACGCGAGACGCGCAGCCTGAACCGCATTGCGCAAGCGCCTATTTCTAACCAGCCCACTAATTTGCAAAACACGCGCGCGCTCTATCATGCCACGACGCGCAGAGGATGGGGGCGCGCGGCCAGCGGCGAAATCAACGCCCAGATGACGCTCGGACTCGAGCAGCAGCTCCACTCTTCCTAACGCCAACCAGAATGCGAATGCGTTTCAACCCACGGAGCGCGGCGCGCGCGGCGGCAGCGAGGTCTCTGAGAACGTCTTTCTCGCGACACAAACGCTGCCAGCCGGCGCCGCCTGCAACGTGGCCAGCGAACGCGCGGGCGCGCGGCGCAAGCGCGATCGGGCGAGCGACGGCGACACTACCTGCAGCAATCGCACGGCAAAATGACAGCCTGAGAGCACAGCGCGCAAGGTCAGAATGGGGTTCGACTCTGCACCGTTTAGCGACGAAACCAGAGGGCGTCGGCGCAAGTCCACAAAAGACTTCAACTGGCGCGCTGGAACGCTGGTGGCGAGGGCTGCGCGCAGCGGCTCAGCGCGCCTGGCCCACTCGAAAGCCCCCCGCGGGCCCGAAAGAACCCATGCCCCGGTGGAGACTTTCTCTCGACCCCACTCGGCGGAGCAGCTTCTGGCCCAGAGTAGATCGTCGCGCCCAGCTGTGGACCACCAAAATTGGCGACGGTGCTGACCCCGCCATTTTGAAACAAGATGCCCGCGAAGGCAGCCCCGCGCGCGGGCAGGGATGTAGATGGGCGCGATAGGCATCAGACCGCCATCGCGCGCGGCAAGAGAGAACGCCTTGGCCCGCACCTGGGCCCGCCCGCAGGTCCTCTCGACCACGAACAGCACGTCGATCGGGGCCCCATGCGCGAAATCACGGAAGGCCCAGGAACTGACGGGGGGCAGAGGTGATCGAAACCGCACCTCCTGGGCATGCTGCAAATGCAGATCCTGAATTCTCGCTGCGGGGGGCGCCCGAGCGCGGGCCGCGAGATCCCCTGGCCCCCCGCCACTTCGCCCCGACCATTCCGGACCGCGCAACTCCACCTCCTCCCCGAGCGCGCAGGGGGCGCCGGCTGCGTTGACGGGGCTGGCGCGCCACAGCGCGCGGGGGCGAGCGCGCGCGCGCGGCGGCCCCGCCCAGACAGCCACGCCGCGCCCGATCTCTCCATCCAGCGAGCTTGTTTGCTCAGCCGATCTGCGCGCCAGGGCCGCCTTGCACCCGGCGGCCTCGCGGGCGGCGGCAGCAAGCTCACGCGTCGCAGACCTATCGAACCGCAGCGCCAAGCACCGCGGGCGAGCCCCGACTTGTCGACGCCCCCCCTTGGACCCCGCGCGCCAGGCTCGGCGCCCCCGCGCGCGGCGCGCCAACGGCCGCGCATATAGCCGCCGAGCTACTTGCCCCCGCCAGGGCGCAGCCTGGCCGAGCCTGGGGAAAGCAACGGGCCGCGGCACTCGCGCAGCCCTCCCGCGCAAATGCAAATGCGGGGCGGGCCCGAGAAAAGGCGGGCACCAGCTGCGAATCCACGTCGCGCCAGACCGCTAGGTCAAGCTTAGCTGCCGCGACTCGCGCGCACAATCTCTGATTTATATCTAGAGAGGCAACCTGCTCAGCCGCCGCGCCCCGCCTGGGCCGCGGCTCGGCGCGCCCGCGGCAACTGGGCGCGCCCCCCGGAGACCGCCCTGGCCACTTGGCATCGCGACGCTGCAGACAGCGCCCGTCGCGAAGAGGCAGGCGCATCAAGGCTGGAGATGGCAGCGCCACCCCTCCATCGGCGGCGACCTCGATGGCGGCTCCGCGCTCGAGCGCGGTTGGGGAAAAATCGACGACCCTGCCAGCGCAGGCGGCAGAAAGAACGCGCGCGGCGCCGACGTCGCCGACGGCGTCTATCCACCCGCGGGCGCAAAGGAGACCCCTGAAGCCTCGACGGCCAGGCCGACCGCGTCGAGAATGCTCAAACTGCGTTTCGACGAAAGGCCTTCGCTGCGGCGAAGCTACACCGCGAATGAAATTAAGCCCCCCCGAAGCCAAATTGGCACCGAGGCGGGCTTACCTCCTCCCATTCGCAAGGATGGAAGGAACACGCTCAAACCGCGAGAGGCCCATGTGTCAAGGAACCCGCTACACGTGGCCTCCACAGGTGCTACCTGCTTGAGTAACAGCTCTGGGCGCGACAGCACTGCGCCATCCTATCCCACGAAGCTCATGGTCTCAAGCACCTGACTGTCGCGCCAACGGATGATACCCCTGCACAGCCAGCGCGCGCACATGCTGGAGCGCTGCAGGGCGGCATCCACTCCACTGATCCCGATGGCACTCCTGCTGGCGAGAATCCACGACTGGAAAGACATGCTGCCCCGAAGACTGGACCTTAATTTTCGTATTGGCCACTGCGAGGGTGGCACCAACAATACCTTAGACAAGTTCGTGGCTGACGCCGCGCTCACAAGCCAGGCGCTCCACAGCTGACGTCTCTGTTGCGTCGTCATACTCACCGCCTGCAGGAGTGTGAATAGCGTGCTGCTGGCTGCCCTACGCAGCTCAATATAAGCTGCCTCGAAAAGTTGCTGGGCGCCCTGTGCACCAGCTGCCTGCTGCGCGGCTGTAGCGGAGGCTGACGCAGCGGCCTGCCCAGCGCTGGCTGCAGCAAGGGCAGCATCGGCGGCGCCTGCTGCTGCAGCAGGCTGCTCACGCGGCTCCGTTGCAGGTCTTGCTACTGGTCAGACACCGCCACGGGGAAATTCAGCTGCAGGAGGAGCAACGACAATAGCTTGAGGGGCAGGGACGAGGGCTTGCGGCTGCGCAACGAGCTGCTTAAGCCTTTCGACCTCGCCGAGAACTTTGGTGAGGGCGCTGGGCTGGGCGACGGGGTCCCCAGCGGCGCATCTCCGCGTAGACCGTGGCGGACTTGGTGGTTGCCTCCTTGCACTTGTCTTGAATGGCGAAGCGGTCCTGCTACTTGGCGGCGTCCACGACGGTCTTGGCGGCATCCTGTGGGCTTTGTCGCGCCTGTAGATGAGAAGGTCCTGTTCCACCCTGGCGTGCTTCGCAGAGGCGCGAGACTCCCCATGGAGCAGAGCACGACAGGCGGAGACGCGCGCGACCATCTTGGGCGTCCACGGCTTCGAGAGCTTGGCGAAGTCCTCGTCCGAGAGCCTCGCGTACACGTCGACGGTGCTCTCGTTGAGGTGCGTCGCATGCCCCTGCTGCCGTGGCACCCCATTGGCCCTTGCGTTCAGCAGCCGAGAACGGGCGTGGAGCTTGGGCACGTCATGGGAAGCTGCCTTCCTGCACACCCAGCAGGCAGTGCGCGAGAGGCAGTTGCAACGGTAGCCGTACTTATTGGCTGTGCACTGCCACGCTGTGAATCCATCCATGGCTGCGGCGAGACACGAGAACAAGAAACGTGGGCCCACGGCCGACTGCGCAACGATGCAATGGTGCGCGAGAGGATGCGGGCTGATACCGCACTACCGAGACCGAGAACGAAGCGGAGACGTTGCCCCCTGAACTGATCTCCCCAATGCCAAAAATCTCAAGTCCCTGAGCCTCTCGCTACGGACTTGACCCAAATTGGTTACGGCTCCTCCCCCTCCTCCTCCACCCCCTCCTCCTCCTCCCCCTCCTCCCCCTCCCCTGGACGCCTGCCGGTAGCGAGACGTGCGGCGGCGGGGGCGGCGGCCACGGGCACCCCGCCGGCTCAGAGCCCGCCCCAGCCATGGCCCGGAGCGTGCCGAGCACCGCGAGCCAGGGCCCGGCAGAACCAGCCTGGCTTTGGCCGATCGGCATCGGCTGAAGTCCACAGACGACGACGTCGATCGCCCGACGACGAGGAAGATGCCGACAACGACGGAGGACGACGACGACGAAGACCGACGAAAACGACGACGCTAACGACAAGGACAGACGACGGATCAAACACGACGACGATGACAAAGACGACAACGAAGGGCGAAAGACGACAACGACGATATCGACGACGACGACGTGTCGCCGACGACGTGCCGACGACGACGCCCGACGACAAGGACGACGGAGCACGACGACGACGAAGACGATGTAGACAAAAACGACCACGACATCCGCGACAAGGACGTGTACGTCGACGACGAAGACGACGACGACGGAAGGCGACTACGACGACGACGAAAACGACGACGACATCCACGACGACGACGATGACGACGTGTCGACGCCGACGTGGACGACGGACGACGGACGACGATGACGACGATGGACAAACGACGACGAACGACGACGAAATAGACGACAACGATGTGTCGCCGCCGACGTGCTGACAACGACAACGCGTCGACGACGACGTGTCGACGACGACGACGGACGAGCGACGACAAACGACGACGACGACGACGACGAAGACCACAACGACGACGGAGGATGACGACGACGAACGACGAGGACGAACACGTCGACGATATCCACGACGACGACGACGTGTCGACGCCGACGTCTCGACGACACCGACGTGTCGACGACGACAACGACATAGACGACGACGACGACGGACGAGCGACGACAAACGACGACGACGACGACCACAACGACGACGGAGGATGACGACGACGAACGACGAGGACGAACACGTCGACGACATCCACGACGACAACGACGTGTCGACGCCGATGTCTCGACGACACCGACGTGTCGACGACGACAACGACGAAGACGACGACGACGAAAACGACAACGACGACGGCGACGACGGACTACAACGACTTCCTGACGCCGTCGCCGCCGACGTGCTGACGACGTCGACGTGTCGTCGGCGGCGCCGACGACGACGACGACGGACGAGCGACGACGAACGACGAAGACGACGACGACAACGAGAACGGAGGTCAACGACGACGAGCGACGAGGACAACGACGACGACTTCCAACACGACGAAGTGTCGACGCCGACGTCTCGACGACACCGACGTGTCGTCGACGACAAACACGAAGACGACGACGACGAAAGCGACGACGACGACGACGGCGGCGACGGACAGCGACGGCGATGACGACGACGACGACGACGTGTCGATGCCGACGTGTCGACGACAACGACGTGTCGACGACGACGACGACGAATACGACGACGACGACGACGACGACGGCGACGGACGATGACGGCGATGACGGACGACGCCCGACGACGACGCCGACGACGACGGCGACGACGGACGACGGCGACGAGGACCGATAAAAACGACAACGACGGACGACGGACGACGACGACGACGACGAACGACGAACGACGACGAACGATGACGAAATAGACGACAACGATGTGTCGCCGCCGACGTGCTGACGACGTCGACGCGTCGACGACGACGCCGACGACAACGACGACAACGGACGAGCGACGACGAACGACGTACGACAACGAGGACGACAACGACGACGGAGGTTAACGACGACGAGCGACGAGGACGAAGACGACGACTTCCACGACGACGACGACGACGTGTCGACGCCGACGTCTCGAAGACACCGACGCGTCGACGACGACGACGACGACACGACAACGACATGCCAAAGTCAACCGACGACAACGTCGAACGCCAGAAGGCGACGATGACGACGTTAACAACGGAAGACGAAGACGATGACCGACGACGACGACGGAGGACGATAACAACGACGCCGAACGACGACGACGTCGTCGAAGATGACAACGACATACGGCGTCGTGGCGACGAGGACGAAGACGACGACGTGTCGACGACGACGACGACGTGTCGACGACGAACGACGGCGTGTCGACGACGACGACGACGACGTCGATCGCGCCACGACAGCGACAACGACGGAGGACAACGACGACAACGACTACCGACGACGACGACGACGACAATAGACGACGGGCGACGACAACAACGATAACGACGGAGGACGAACGACGAAGAACGAAGACGACGACGACGACGACAACGACGTATCGCCATTAACTTGCCGACGACAACCACGACGCTGTGTCGACGTTGCCGACGACGACAACGACAAGAAAGACGACAACGACGACGACGACAGAGGACGGCGACGACAAACGACGACGACGACGAAGGACGACGACGTCGACGAAGACAACGTCGACATCGACGACGAACGACGACGAGGACGTTTCGACGGCAACAACGCGTTGACGACGACGGGGGACGACAACGACAACGACGTGACGACATCGACCGACGACGACATGCATCGCCTGACCACGACGACAATGTAGACAACGACGGTCGCCGGGCGTTGACGACAACCACGACGACGACCGACGAAGCCAACGACGACAACATCGACGCCAACGACGTGTCGCCAACGACACGGCGACGACGACGACGACGACGACGACGGAGGACGACGACGACGACGATCGACGATGACAACGACGCCGATGGCGACGGCGTTGTCGAAGCCGACGTCGAAATCGACGACGACGACGTCTCGACGACGATGTGCCGACGACAACGACGACGACGACGACAACTATGACGGACGACGAAGACGACGACGGAGGACGACGACAACGAACGACAACTCAGGACGACGGAGGACGACGACGACGACGATGACGATGGCCGAACCAAAACGGACGACGAATCGACGATGACGATGTTAACAACGTGTCGCCGACGACGTGCCGACGACGACGACAATGTGTCGACGAAGACGTGCGAATTCCACCAGCGACGACGATGATTGCCCGATGACGACGACGAATGATGGCCGACGACTACGACGACGACGACGACGACGACGACGACGGCGACGGCGACGACGACGACGGGCAAACGACGACGAACGACGTGTCGACGACGATATCGTCGACAAAGAAGTGTCGCCGACGACGTGCCGACGACGACGACGACGACGGTGGAAAGACGACGACGACGACGACGACGACGGAGCACGACGACGACAGAGCACGACGACGACGACACGACAACGACGACGAAGACGACGTGGACGAAGACGACGTAGACATCGACGACGACGACGTGTCGACGCCGACGACAACGACGGCGACGACGTCAGCGACGACGGAGGACGACGACAACGACGAACGACAACAACAGACGACGGACATCGACGACGACGACGACAACAGACGATTGACGACGGTCGACGACGACGACGACGACGATATCGACGACAACGACATGTCACCGACGACGTGCCGACGACGACGACGGCGACGTGTCGACGACAACGACGCTGAGGACGATGACGACGACGACAAAGGACGACGACAACGACGACGAACGAAGACAACGACGACGACAACTACGGACGACGGGCGACCACAACGACGGACGACGCCGACGACGATGGACGATGACGACGATGATATCGACGACAACGACGTGACACCGACGACGAGCCGACAACGGCGTGCTCTCCGTCTCTCTCACCTTGTGGTGTTTACATGCCCCCCGCCCTATCTTGCACCGCGCTCGCGCGGCACTGCCACCAACTCCTCCAGATCAATTTCGAATGCTCGGCGCCACGACGCCACCGCTCCGTTCCTGGATGCGTCGTAGTCGTCGTCGTGATCGTCATCGTCGTGCTCCGTCGTCGTCGTCGTTATCGTCGTCGTCCTCGTCCTGCTCCTGGTCGTTGTCGGCGTCGTCGTCGTGGTCGACACGTCGTCGTGATCACCGTCGTCGACAACTCGTCGTCGATGTCGACGTCGTCTTCGTTGTCGTCGTCGTTGTCGACGTCGACTTCTTCGACGACGTGCTCGTCGACGTCGATCGACTCAGCTTCGTCGTCGTCGTCGTCCTTGTCCTCGCCGTCGCCGTCGTTGTCCTCGTCGTCGTCGTAACCGTTATCAACGTCGTCCTCGTCGTCCGTCGTCGTTATCTAGGGAAGCGAACTCTATACACCAACGCTTTGTCCCGACCCTGCGCTGAAATTGGCACAGGAACGCGGATTCTGGTGTATACGGGATCCTGGTGTATACCTTTTTCGTTGTTTCCCTTGGAAAACGGGGGAAAAGTATACACCACACCACCCCGACGTCGTCCCTTACCCTTATCCCTAACCATTACCAGTGGCGGGCGTCCCCGCCCGCCACTGGTAATGTATATGTTCCCGTTTCCGAATATCCTCATCCTCGTCGTAGTTGTCCTAGTCGTCGTCGACATGACGTCGTCGTCGACTTCGTCGTCCGTCGTCGTCGTCCTCGTCGTCATCGTTCGTCCGTCGTCGTCGTCGTCGTCGTCGTCGACGGCACCGTCGTTGTCGTCGTCGTCGTCGACACGTCGTTGTCGTCGTCGTCGGCATCATCGTCGGCCTCCGTCGTCGTCGTCCATATCGTCGATAGCGACATTGTCGTCGACACGTCGTCGTCGACACGTCGTCGTCGTCCTCCGTCGTCGATCGTCGTCGACATCGTGGGCACGTCGACGTCGTCGTCGTCGACGCGCCGTCGTCGACACGTCGTCGTTGGCGTCGTCGTCGCAGATGTCTACGTCGTCCTGGGTTGCCGTTGGTCGTTGACGTCTCCGACGAAGTCCTCGCCGACGTCCTCGGTCGTCCGTCCTCGTCGTCGTCGTCCACGTCGTCGTTGTCGTCAACGTCGTCGTCGTCCTCGGTGTCGTCATCGTCGTCGTCGTTGTCGTCGACACGTCGTTGTCGTCGTCACCGTCCCGTCGTCATCGTCGTCGTCGACACGTTGTTGTCGCCGACGTCGTCGATGTCGACGTCGTCTTCGTCGACGACTTCGTCGTCGTACTCGTTGTCGTCGTCATCGTCGTCGTCGCCACGTCGTCATCTCCGTCGTCAGCACGTCGTCGGCAACGCGTCATCATCGTCGATGAAGTGGTCGGCGTCGTCCTCGTCGACTTCGTCGTCGTCGTCCTCGTCGTCGTCGTCCCCTGTCGTCGTCGTTGTCGACACCTCGTTGTCGTCGTCCGTCGTCGTCGATACGTCGTCGTCGTCGTCGTCGTCGTCTGTGTCGCCGTTGACACGTCGTCGTCGCCGTCTGCACGCCGTCGGCGACACATAGACTCAACCCGCATATCAAGGACAAACAATTTTCCAAGGTTGCCCTTGCATCCTTCCCCTCCGGCCCGTCATTGGCATCTTTCGACGGCCACGCCCCGCTCTCAAAGTGTCGACATGGCCTTCTCAGGTCATTGCATCCTTGTCGTATGACCTCAGTAGTTGTCGTCGATGATCTGATTCGTCGTCGTCATCCTCGGTCGTTGTCGTCATCGTCGTTCTCCGTCGTCGTGGTCGTCTTCCTTGTCGACGACACGTCGTCGTCGACACGTCGGTGTCGTCGACACGTCGTTGCCGTCGTCCTCGTCGTCGTCGCCGCCGATGTCGACGTCGTCTTCGTCGTCGTCGTCCTCCGCCGTCGTCGTCGTCGTTGCCGTCGTCGTCAGAGACGGGAAGCAAGGGGGGGCACGTCGATCGGCGTCGATGAAGGCCGCCGAAGACGACGGCACCGATCGACGTTGTCGACGGCGGCGTCGATCGGCGCCAACGGCATGCCGCTGTCGAGAGAATCATCTCGGCTACGCGCAGGAGTGACCCTTGGGGCGCGGGGGGGGGGGGCTGAGGGGCAATGCCAAGGGGGGAACCAGCTCGGGGGAGGAGCCTCGACCCGGAATCGGAGCTCTGCCGCCAGTAGGTCGGCGATCGCCCTGTCGGCGATCCATGGGCGATGGCGGGTCGATGCGTCCGCCCCTGAGCAGACTCCCCCCAACGAAAGGGGCAAACGCAAGCGTGCAAGCCGCTGTTATCGCGTCGTGCTCAGCGATCGGGGGTCCCTGCTGGGCAAATCACCAGGGGGTCGCTACGACGAAGCGTCGCTCTGACGCGCAGCCGATGCTCAGAGGTGATCGAGGATCGAAGATCGAGGGCCGATCATCGAGGCGATCGAGAATCGAGGATTGATGCCCCCCAGAAGCTCCGCGTCGCTACTGCTGGACTGCCCTCGAGGTTCCAAGGGCTCCTAACTTCGCGCTTCGCGCAGCGCGAAGCGCGAACAACTTCGCGCTCTCGCGCCGCCCCCAAAGGGGAGAAGAGGAGGACGAGGAGGAGGGGGAGGAGGAATGAGGCCCGCGAAGCGCGAAGCACGACTAACTTCGCGCCCTCGTGGGAGCCCTTGAGGTTCTGGCCACAACACACTCCGAGAGGCTCTGCATCATGGGCAGACCCCGTATGCCCAGAGTCCTTCAGAGCAACGAAAACATGCGAGGCGGGATCCCCAGGGAGCAGCCGGCCCCTTGGGGCCTGGTGGCCACTGTCTGCAGCCGTCGGTCGTCGAAGACGCGCGACGGGTTTCCCAGGCGAGGCGAGGCGAGGCGCCGGTCAATCGTCTCGGCGGGGACGGCCCTACGAGAGCCCGGCGGTGGCGCCGGAGCGCCGAGAAAGAACCTTAGTCGAGGGGGAAGGAGGGAAGAAGAAGGACTCAGACCGCGACACGGGTTTCGCAGGGAGCACCCGGACCCTAGGGGCCTGACGGCCGCGGTGTGCAGAGTGTGCGAGGCGGGTCGCGAGCTCGTCCTCTTGATCTGGCAACCCCAACCTGTCGGGTGGGGACATGATGCCAGGATCTCTGAGATCTGGCGGCTCTTGAGGATGTATTAGACACCGCGGCCGTTCCAGAGAGCGCTCCAGAACACCCTGGAGCGCTTTGTACGGGTCCTGGGCCCGCCCGAACAACACACCAGAAGATTGGCAGACACTGCCTGCACAGAGGTCGTCAGAAAAGACAGACAACAGAAGTCGGCCAGGCTCGAGGGTCGAGGGTCGGAGCCTGCTGGAGGGAAAGAGAACCCTGACCATGACCAAAACTGAACGCGGACACGTCGGTGTCGACCTTGGTCATCGTCCATCTTGGTCACGGTCCGTCTGTGGATCATCATCGCAAGATCGGCGACGGCCCGCATGGACCGTGCCAAGACAGGCGTCGACAACTTCCTGCGAGATCTTGGTCATGGTCACCGCCTTTCTTCCCTCGATCACCCACCTTCTGCCGAATACCGCCAATCCCCAGATCTCTCCCGCGGTGCGCTCTAACCAGAATTTCGAGGAGGATCCAGCCGCGGCGACGAGAGTTCTCCAGGATGAGCAGCGGCACCAGTATCGGTATGTTTTCCTGCTGTGAGCCCACCTACTTCTACTGTCGTTGACCCTTGGATGTCGAGTCGTAACTCGCCTTACCCTCAAGCTCGACCTCGGCCATCGTTGTGGAAACCAGCGGGAGCCTCTCATGTCATCTTGCTGGCTCTTGCGAATCGACGCGAGCCGACGCCAAATCGGCGCGTTCCCATCGATGACCAGACGCTAGCGCACGCCAGTGCACTCCAAACACTGAACTGCGAGGACACGCAAGGCTCCCAGGAATTGCTACCGAATCACGGTGTTTCGTCCCTCGACCTGCGCTACGAACCCCCTCAAGTGTTTCAACGCCTGGTGCCCGTCAAAATCCAGGACGGTCTTGTCAAACAGCACCAGGAAACTTGAGTACCGGCCAACTCGAGCCATACGTATCCCCGATAAGAGCTCCCCCCCTGGCGTCTCTCTGCGGCGCGCCCGGGGGGGGGGAAGTGATAGGGGGCAGGCCTTCTCCGAGGCGGCGGGGCTTCTCAGAAGCCCTCTGGCCTTCTGAGAAGTCGTCTCTGTCTTCGGGGAGGGCTCAGAAAGCTGGAGGCCTTCTGAGCCTTCTGAGAAGGCCCGCCTTCTCTGCCTTCCCCCCTGGCCTCGCCGCCAAAAGAGCTCCCCCAAATTGTTTCAGCGCCCGTAGAGGCCTCCTGGATGGGGTCCGAGTAGATGGGCTCGGAGGATCGCGTTGCACCCCCGAAGTATCGCCGATGCATCGGCGACGCCGGCGCGGAGAAAATCGGGTTCCACATCCAGCCGCATTGGCGATGCATCGGCGATGCGGCGCGATCCTCCGACCCCGCGTGGGAGGCCTACGGCCGGGGGCCTGCTCCGTCAGCGCCAGCAGCCGCCGCAGCTCCCTGCGGCGGGGGCAGGCGCCCCCGGCGCTTTCCCCCGCGGCGACGCGGCCGAGGAGTGCCACAGCCTCGCAGAGGGCGCCTGCGGGCGCGCGGGCGTGCGGGGGGGGCGTCAGGCCGCAGGCTGCGGCAGCCCATGGGCACGCGCATGGTCCACCACCGAGCCGCGAGGCTCGAGTTGGTGTCGCTGCATGGAGAGGGGGAGGCGTCCAGGCGGCCTTGCCCCTTCTCATCCGAATGTAATCCGACTGATGTGTCACAGGCTCCCGAAGGCTGCGGCCGAAAAGCCGCGCACCGATACGGGGCAAGCGACGTCCTCATCGAGCAGCTGCCCTAACATGCACGAGTTGGAGTGTCACCAGGCCCCCTGTAGTTCCTAACCCTGTCCTCAGGGGTTAATAAATGAGAAACCCGGACCCAAAATTCCTAGATCGCCCGAGGTTCCCATTGCGCCTCCCGGGTCGCAGCGGGTCTTCTCGCGTGACTGTTCTCAGGCCCAAGCGGACTCCAGAAAGGGCTAAGAGGGCCCCGAGAGGCCTCAGGTCTACCTACAACCCAGACACGGCTGCATATATGGTCCACGGCTTGCCCCCCCCCCAATGCTGATGCCATTGGGCCCCCCCCCCCCGCGCGATGGTCCCCCCCGCCCCCCCCTGTGGGCGTGGCGTGGTGCTGCGCTGCGGTACTCCCCCCCCTGTGGATGTGGTGTGGTGCTGCGGTGGTTCAGAAGTGGGCGTGGCGTGGTGCTGCGCTGCGGTGCCCCCCTCCTCCCCCTGTGGATGTGGTATGGTGCTGTGGTGGTTCAGAGGTCGTCGTCGTCGTCGTCGTCGTCCTCGTCGTCGTCGTCAACGTCGTCGTCGTCGTCGTCATCGTCGTCGCCGTCGTCATCGTCGTCATCGTCGTCGTCGCCGCCGCCGCCGTCGTCGCCGCATCAGCCGTCGTCGTCGTCGTCGTGGTCGTCGTCGCCGTCGTCGTCGCCGTCGTCGTAGTCTTCGCCGTCGTCGTCGTCGCCGTCTTCGTCGTCGTCGTCGTCGTCGTCGTCGTCGTCGTCGTCGTCGTCGTCGTCGTCGTCGTCGTCTCTGGGGCCATACCATCTGGGGGGGGGCCCGAGGAATCCTGGGACCATACCATCTGGGGGGGGGGGCCGTGAACCCTCGACCCTGGATCATATATACGAAGGCCTATATCTACACACTGGAACGAACCGCGCGCTTCGCGCGCGTTTAGGTTCTTGTCACGGCTGCGCCACGTTTTGCTGCTCTCGCTCCCGCTCCTGTGATCATTGACGACGACGACAACGAAAGGGGCGGCGACGAGTGACGACGGAAACGGGCGGGCGCGGTGCGAGCCACGAGGTACGCGAGGGGGCGTGACCCGGACCTCCGTCGACGTAATCTTTTCAGCCAGCGGTTTGTCTTCCTCTTCGGCTGTCGTCGGGGATGGAGATTCGAGCATATTTTTCGTCGTTTTCCGCTCCGGAGGAGCCGCCTTGGGGGTCTGGAACCACCCAAAACTGATCCGGGACGGCGAAGCACTGGGGGAGGTCTGGGGCCGCGGGTTTAAAAAATCATGCGGGCGGATGTCTGGGGACCAGACGGATGGGAGAGACCCAGACCCACTGTGTGGCTTTTCCGTCTGCGCTCTCCGTAACTTTGGTATAGATCCTTCTATAGAGATCACAAGTCCTTGCATAGAGCTGCTAGTGTTGGTAGACATTGTTATAAGTGTTGCATATATCAAACCTAAAGTATACAACATGTGTCCCACGTTTCCCCTCGCTCCCTGCTGCCAACAAAGACGATGACCGAGATCCCTGAATCTTCTCTTTCAGTGCCCCTCCGGGCCGGACATCTGGGGCACGCTCTGCACAGGCGGCGAGACGGGCCAGGAACGCGCGCCGCCGGTCAGTAGCGAGCGTCCCTCTAGGAAAAATTCTCTCGCTCTCCAGCGTGAACATGCAGACCAAGCAGGAGGCAAAGGGGCGGCAGACGCAGTCGAAGCCAGAGGGGAGCTTGAGCGAAAGGGGTTACACACACCGCATTCTGCGACGGAGCGGCAGCATTCAGGCGAGGGGGCCGATAGACACACGAAGTAAACTATGTAGTATCCCACGCTTCCCCTCGCTCCCTGCTGCCAACAAAGACGATGGCAGAGATCCTTGAATATTCTCTTTCAGTGCCCCTCCGGGCCGGACGTCTGGGGCACGCTCTGCACAGGCGGCGACACGGGCCAGGAACGCGCGCCGCCGGTCAGCAGCGAGCGTCACTCTAGGAAAAATGATTTGGCTCTCCAGTGTGAACCTGTAGACCAAGCAGGAGGCAAAGGGGCGGCAGACGCAGTCGAAGCCAGAGGGGAGCTTGAGCGAAAGGGGTTACACACACCGCATTCTGAAACGGAGCGGCAGCAGTCAGGCGAGGGGGCCGATGGACACATGAGGTAAGCTACGTAGTATACCACGCTTCCCCTCGCTCCCTGCTGTCAGCAAAGACGATGACCGAGATCCCTGAATATTCTCTTTCAGTGCCACTCCGGGGCGCGCTCTGCACAGGCGGCGACACGGGCCAGGAACGCGCGCCGCCGGTCAGCAGCGAGAGTCACTCTAGGAAAAACTATCTGGGCCCAGCTCTCCCCACATTGTCAGGTTCGCTTGCCCAAACTGACTCCTGGCTGTCAAGCCGAGTCCAACATGCTAGACAGATCTTTCATTCTCTTGGCCGCCAGCCACAAGAGCGTCCGCGAAAGCCTGGGCGAGGCGATTGCACAGCGGCCGTGGGTAAGGCTCAGCCGCCGCTGTGACGAAGGTCCCGGCCTGCTTCCCGCGCGAGGTCACGCGCGACTGCTTTGTGCGGGAGCAGATCCCACGGCCGGAGCAGAGGCGCCCGACGCGGCTCAGGTCGATGTTGTAGCCCCAGAGCTGTGTCCGCTTCCTCCAGCGCGTGCCGACCTGGCAGTAGTCGGCGACCACCGTCCGCAGCACGCCCTTCGGCAGTCTCAGAAAACAGGGCTGCTGGAAGAGCCGGCTCGTCCAGGGGCTCTCGAACACCACTGGCGCGTTCCGCCGCCGACGCTCGTTCATAACGCGGGCGGCGAAGGCGGCCAGCGCGTTGCCCACCTCCAGCTTCTGCTGATCGTGCGGCTTCAAGTTGGGGGGTCCGGTCGGGAACTCCGCGGACCGCAGGGGCGGCGGCCCTGGGGGGCCCGACTCTCGGGCCCGCGAAAAGGTGTTGCACGGCACGCCCAGCCAGACCGCCCGCACCAAGCCGTGTTGGATGAGGCCCCTGATGATCCGCTGGCTCTTCCGCACTGTGAGGTCGTGCGTCTGGTGGCGGTGGATGTCGATCTCGTAGATGGGCACGCTCGCCAGCCGGTGGTGCCTCCGCCAGCTGTGGGAGAGGCGCCCGGAGCCCGAAAAGATCTCCAGGGCTACGCCGCTGCGCTCGGCGGCGGCAGCGGCGGCGAGAGGAAGCGACCAACCCTTGCCTTGCAGTCGGCGCCGTGCCTTCGCATCGCCGCGCTGAGCGAAGCCAGCGCCTGGTTGACCCGGCCCCCCTTGGCGCACCTGCGGACCGACGCGTCGCTGCTCCAGCGCCCCCGCTGCTTCAGCCCCGCCGCGTCGCGAAACCCGGTGAGCGCCTCGTGGGACGCTCCCCCGTGCCTGTGTTGGCACAGTACGGGTGACCCCAGGCTTCCGAGGCGCAGCCGGCGGCCCACGTCGGCGAAGCTCTGGACCCAATCGGCGTAGCTGAACCCGAACAGGTACTCCCCCTTTGCCTCCTGCCTGAGGAGGCCCAGCACGCTCCCCAGCCAGGCGAACTCAGGGTTGTCGAGCACCAGCCACTCGTCGTACTCTCCCGTTTTCGAGCTCACCCCCTGCTCGAGGGGGTGGAGCACCAGCGACAAGCGGCTGCGACCGGCCCCGCCCTCGCGGGGCGGAGGCACCACGTCCAGGACCCGGATGCGCATCACCTCGGCGGGCCTGGGCATGAACACGAAGGCCACCATCACCGCGCTCGCCGTCTGAAGCTCTCCCTCGAGCGCCAGCGCGTTGGCCATGATTTTGGACGCCCGAAATGGGTACCGAAAAAAGGGTACAATGCCCAACAGCAAATGTTGTCCCAAACCAACAGCGGCCGTTGTTGGGCAGGCGGCCTTCTGTTTCGAATGGACACAGGCCGCGGCGGCGTGGACAGCGAGTCCTGTTCAAAATGAACAGAATCCGCTGTTGGGCATTATACCCATTCTTTCCGGCCGCTGGAAGCGGGATCGGCAGCTGGGACTGTTGGAGCCAACAGCCGCCAACCCCTCTTGGCGGCGTGGCTCCGCACAAGCTCGGGGGCCCCGCACGTGAGCTCCGGGCGCAGGTATCCCAGGGCCGCCAGAAGGTAGCTGCCGCTCGCCAGCCCGCTGCCCTTGAAGAAGTGCTCGTTCATCCATGCCACCGCCGCCGCGTCGAGCGCCGACACCGGCTCCACTGTGGCTCCGGCACCAAAGCCGCGCCCGCGCGCACGACGACGATGAGCGACGAGCGACGAGCGACGACGACGACGACGACAACGCAAGCAGCATGCAGGTGGCAACCTGCCCAACACCGCCTGTGTACACCACGATGCTCGCGTGCACCACAGCGCGCGTGTACGCCACAGCGCCTGCGTACACCGCAACAGCCGTGTGCGACGCAGCGCCTGTGTACACCACAATGCTTGCGTGCACCACAACGCCGGTGTACACCACAGCGAATGTGTAACAGCGCAGCAACCCTGTGCTACACAGCGCCTGTGTACACACCACAATATTTGCGTGCACCGCAGCGCCTGTGCACACCACACCACCTGTCTAACCTCAAGAAGCCATTAAGGACCCCCCGGGGTTATCATTAGCACAGCACCGTAACTAAAAACATCGGGGGCGCGGTTTTCGCCGATCGATATGATTTCCATCGCGCAAATGGAACGAAAATAAATAATTCCCGCGCCCCGGCTCGGGTGGTACCCTAAGTGGAATTGGAATAAAAAAATACGAATAAGAATGAAATACCAGTGATCATGATAAGAATAAGGAAAATAATAATAATCATAATCGAAATAGGGTGAGCAAACTCGTCTGCGTTCACATAAAGGTGCGAGGTGCCAGGGTAACGCTTCTGGGGTGCCAGGTGTGTCATACTTTCGCCGGAGAGAGGGGGATCTTAATTGTGTCTTGCGGTTACACCACAGCATCTTCGTGCACGCAGCGCTGGTGTACACCACAGCGCTTGCGTGCACAGGACAGGTAGAACGAGCATGTAGGTAAGGATCTGCTGCGGACAGATAAACGCCACGCCAGGAAAGTGCTGATAAAATTATAATGCAGCGTTCTTCTCTTCTCCCTCCTCCTCCTCCTCCTCCTCCTCGTCCTCCTCCTCCTCCTATGCGATTTCCTATGCGAACGCCGATGCGGATCCCGATGCGCACGGCGGCAGTGCCCAGAGCGCACAAGGGGAGGGAGGGGCGTCACGTTATAAGGGAGGAGGGGGGGGGCGTGGGCTATAATGCCCATTATTCCCCAAGCAAGAAAGAAACACGCTCTTGGCACCCACGTACCGAGCCGCTGCTCATCCGACCCCCCATGGACGCTTCGCGCGGCACTCCCCCCCCGCTATTGCGGCGGCCTGGGCGCGGGAGCTTCCCCCCGAGCTGGCCCTTTGCCCCCTCCCCCCGGGGGGGCGGGCCGCCCTGGTGTGCCCGCGTCCGCACCCCCCCCCCTTGGGGCCGGGCGCGTGCACCTTTCTTCCGACGATTGCACCAGTTCGGTGCCTCCCTACGCCCACCCACCTCCAGGTGTACGCCGCCCGCCCTACGGCGGCTTGGGCTCACAGCTCTGCCCTGGGCTGTCCCTCGCCCGCCCCCCCCCCCCCGCGCCTCATGCGTGCGTTACCCCACACACTGCCTGCACCGGTTCGGTGCCTTCGCGCCCCTTGCCCCCGCCCATCTCTCCCTCGGGCTCCACGGGCGCGGGTACCCCCGCCCTCGCTGGGGCTGTCGCTCTTCGCTCTGCACGCCACGGGCTCCTCCCAACCGCGGTCCGCCGTGTGGCCATTGGCCGCCCTGCGCCTTCGTTGGCCTGCCGGCGCCCCCGGCTGCCACGCCCGACGCCCATCGCCCGCCCGCTGGCAGGCGGCCTGACGCCGGCCCGCATCTCGTCGCCGCACTCTGCGGACGGGGCATCCCCCCCCCTTCCCCTCCAGCCGCGCTTTCGCCTCCGGCGCCGCACCGCGGTGCCGCGCCCTCGCTCCGCTTCCCCCTTTGGCTCCCCGCCGCGCGGCCCGCTGGTCCTCACCTTGGGGGCTCACTCACAGAGATTGCACCAGTTCGGTGCCCTTGACGTCCTCCGCGGCCCTTGCCCGATCCGCGGGCCCGCTGCCACTCGGCCTTCTGGCCGCGCTCCCCTCGCCCCGGGGCCTGGGCTGGTCTTGCCGCCTGCGCTCCCCCCCTCCCCCCCCGCCTTGCCTGGTTCTCAGGCCCCGCACCCGCCTCAGGGATGCGGTCTTGCACTGCTCCACTTCAACGTCGCCCGCTGTGTCATCAGCCCTGCTTACTAGATCCGCCCGTCGCTGCGGGCCCCCGTCCCCTCCCTTGGGGAGTCCGGCGCTTCCTGCTCACATTCGCCTTCATTCACCAGCTCGTCTGGCCTGGGTACCCCTCACTCCGTCGCTACCCCCTGCCTTGAAGCTGTCCCGGGCTCCCCTGCCGGCTGGTGGCCCGCCGCCGCTGCCCCCCACCCCCGGCGCCGGCCCTGCCACGCGCCTGGCCCTGCTGTTAGCGGGCCCGGCTTCCCCCCCTCCTGCCCGCCGTCGCCGGGCGCCTCCTCCTCCCCTTGCATGGTGTCCCGATTCGCGCACCGTTTGCCGCGTTATGCCTCTTCCGCCAGCGCAGTCAGTCTGCCTCGCCGCCGACGCAAACCAAAAATGTGTGTGTGGGGTGGGGACGCAGGTGAGTGGTCGTGGGCGGGTACGTGCGCACGCGCGTTGGCGGGCGTGCGCGCGCGCGCGTGCGCGTGCGCGTGTTTGCGCGCGCGCGAGGAGGATGGAGCCTGCAGGAAGAACAGGAGGAGAGAAACGAACAAGACATTCCCCCGAACCCGCCCCCGACACCCTGACACGCACGTTGAAGTTTCACCAACATCAGTATTCCACTGCAGGTGGAATATAGGTGCCCTCTCTGTCCGGCGTGGGGCCGAGGAACCCTGGCCCACTGGGGATGGGGACAGCTCTGACGATGCTGACTCCTGCCCTCTGCGTCCCCCGGGGGGACGCGCTCTCGCCAGTTCCCCGGTGCACGGGCCGCATCGGATCGCCGCCAATTGGAGATCGGGCCAGCCGAGATCGGCATGGAAACGAATCGGTCGGGTCGGAGGAGTGGGCCTTGCGCCTGCTCCTCCTGCCCTTTCACCCTCCATGGAGCGCTCGACGGGGGGGGGGGACATCGAGCCAGAATCGGCGACCCCCGACAGCGAGTCCGCGCGCTCCTGGGCGGGGTGGGCTATGGGGCCCTATTGGCAAGGAATGGGCGACCAGGGGTCGATACATCCGCCTCTGAGCCTGTCCCCACCTAGCATCGCCTCCGACCTCAGGACCCCCCAAGAGTGCCTCAGATTTGTCCCAGGGCCCATCCTGGCCAGTGTTCCGAGTCACGTCCAGCCACGGCCACGATGATACGAAGACGCCGACGTCGCCCATCCCCCCCCCCCTAGCAAGTCAGCCCCAGCGTCGCCTCTGACTTGACCGGGGAGAACGGCACGAGCGCGGCCCCTAGAGGAACGGAACGGTGGTGCCGTGGCGCCGAGCTTTCGAGGAACAACTAGGGAAAATACTGGCAGTGCCCGGCGCGGGCAATGAAACTCGGCCACGAAAAACACGGCCAAACTGAACTCGGCCAGGCTGATCTCGGCCAGGCCGAACCCGGCCGAGCCCAATTCGGCTCGGGCCGAGTTCAGCCCAAAAGAGTTCTCACGAGTCTGGGCGGTCTCGATTCCAAAACGCGATCCCGCAGTACGCGGTCGCACGGATACGTTCCCCTCCTGCCCCTCCTCCTCCCCCTCCACCTCCTCCCCCTCCTCCTCCTCCCCCTCCTCCTCCTGCTCCTCCTCCTCATCATCATCATCATCAGCAGCAGCATCCTCATCATCATCCTCATCATGCTCATCGTGATCATCATCACCATCATCATCATCATCATCATCATCATCATCATCATCATCATCATCATCATCATCATCATCATCATCATCATCATCATCATCATCATCATCATCATCATCATCATCATCATCATCAGCATCATCATCATCATCATCATCAGCATCATCACCAGCATCAGCAGCATCATCAGCATCATCCTCATCCTCATCCTCATCCTGATCCTCCTCCTCCTCCTCTTCCTCTTGCTCCTGCTCTTGCGCCTGCTCCTGCCCCTCCTCCTCCTCCTGTTCCTCCTGCTCCTCCTCCTACTCCTCCTCCTCCTGCTCCTGGCGCGTACCTGGGGGATGAAGTTCAGGATGTCCACACCGCTCACAGGCTCGCCTGGCGCAATCTGGCGAGGCTGGCCCTGGCCTGCGGAAAAAGACTCTCGGACTCCTCCTCGGTGAAAGGGTGAAATGAATCGGCCGAGGATCGGAGAGAGTGCGCTGCGGTATATAATGTGAGAGATGCGGCACAAGGTTCGAGCGAGAGACGAGTGGGGGAGCACGCACCGAAACGCTCGAGAGGACACAGAGGAAGAGGGACGGGGTGAGAAACTCGAGACAGGAGCTCAAGACACCTGGGGCGTTGAGACCAGTAATGTAAGAAGGTATCAGAGCCTCCGCAACCGAATATACAACCTCTTGCATTGACATCGTGAAACCGAACTGATGTGACCCAAGCACCAGCCAAGGTCGCACTGCTAAAGCTGATTGACTGGGCTTTCAAAACCGCTTTGACCACGGACCAGTCAATAGCGGTTATCTTGGCACTGAGCGCAGGGAACCAACAGTAGTATCTTCGCGCGCACGCG